GGATCAGATATATCCACACATCATCTTAATCGCTATACTGAATTCCACTATCCTCTCATTCCTCATCGCTGTCTTTTGATGAGTTTATCATTTCCGACTGTTTTCTTTATCTCTCATCTTAGTGCATTGTCACTCGGCATGCTGAAATAGGGTGAAACAACTTGGTTTGCTATCCCAGAAATTCACTGTGTTGTCTAAGGATTATGGAGTCGAGAGTAGTGTTTATGTCACTGAGACTAAGACAGTCAGTGATTGAGACCAGTCGGAAGGGATCATATCCAGTTTCCATACACTAGCCAATATTTCAGTTACTCCAGCCAATTATTCTAGATTTCCATCTTTAAAACTCCCTAGTACTAGCTCATTTAGCCCCGTTGTGTTTCCTCATTTCATATTATATCCAGCCTCCTCAACTTCTCTAGGAACTGAAGGACCTATCTTACTGTTTAGTTCCGGTGCTGAAAATCTGTGAACATTGTGAAAGCCTCTGAAAAGTTATTCGTAAGACATACCGAAGCTACTGAGGCTTATGTTTTGAAAAGAATTTACTCGGTGAATAACCATTGTCATACTGCCTAAGCAAACACTACTGGACCCTGCTACTACGTATATCATGTGCAAGCAATCTTTCAAAGACAGCGATGATGAAATATACATTGTCGTCGAATATCATCAGCCACAGGAGGTTGGGTTTCACCAATGCAGAGTAGAATTGCCTGACCAATTTGTTTTACACCTTCTAACTTCATTGTAAGTTTGCACCAATTTCAAAAGTGAATCAGATTAGCGCAAGCCAATCTAGTTTTCGGAATGCGATTATAAAACTGACCAGTTTCACTTCTACTAGCAGTCATGCAGATACGTAGATATCCATCCAAATCAACATAGGACCAGGCATTACTGCGTAGTGGTCCGAGTCGCCACAGCCCATCTCAGTACACCCACTAAGAAGGCAGTGAGGTGCAAGATGAAGATAAGAGAATGCAGTCAGAAGAAATATAAAGTACGAGAAGAAAGAAGGAAAGAATGAGAAAGTGGTGAGATTCTGTGTAGCTTCATTAAGATGACGATAATGTGTGTATACATCCGCACCACTGACATCAGTTCTGAGCCATATCGCTTAAAGTCAGTCGCCAACCACTAGTTTCTCTTGTCCCTTGGATCCCAACCACCTAGTCTGCATCGTCCGACATGGCTGAAAGCAAGAGTCAGAGACTTCATACAGTGGTGGTATGTTTTAGTGTGGCCACGTCGAGCGTTTTTCCAGTCTGAAGCTAATTTGGCCAAGAATGTGTGACGAGGCAATCGGTGACGAGGCATAGGCAGGCATATGTAGTACGTGTCGCAACCATGTGAATCGATGAAGGTTCATAACGTCGTCAAGTGATTTACCTCTACTCCTTAGAACTGTACAGCTGACTTGTGCGTTACTGACGTGGTTCGGTGACACCACGGAATACGGTCTATACTTCGAAGGTGACAATGGTGAAACACCTGAAGCCAGCGTTCTCATGTCTTCCACCTTGAATGGCCATATTTCACAGCCATATAGAAGAACAGACCGAACTGCTGTGCAGTATATGGGACCCTTAATAGACAATAGGATGTGATGGTGGCGCCATAGGTGGCATAAGTTGGTGAAAGGCAACCGAGGTTTATGTATTTGTGTAGAGTTTTAATCGGCCACTGAGCCAGTGGGGCAGGGCTGATCGTACTTGTCAGGTAAGTGAAGTGGTCGACACACTGAATGACTACACTGTGTATTGTTATCCAGGATGGGGCACTGTTGAGGATGAATCGTGGAGCAAGAATTTGCATTAGGGTGGTGAGGAATGGAGACATTGCTAAAGATTGTCAAATTGCCACTGAGAGTGTTGAGTAGACTGTGGATGTTGTCAGCGTCTTCAGGTAACAGGCCTATGTCATCTGTGTGTTCTAGGTCTAACGAAAATTCTCCCGCGATTAGGAAGTACGTGTATATATAGAATTTCCTAATTACAATGGTTTACGTTCAAAAGTGAGTGCATGCGTACACTCTTGGCGATTTGCACTTGGTTGGCGCAAAGTTCATACGATACATACACTAATGGCCAACTGATCAAGCATGGTCTGAGTAACCTTATGTGGTTACACAGTAAGACGATATCGTTCAAATACTCAAGGTTAAAAAGTATCTCACCTGATAGTAGGTTTGCGTCACCATTACCCATATTTATAGCTGCCACGAGAGTGTCGTCGACAGCAAAGTCAAAGAGAGTTGGCAAAATCACACAGTCCTGCCTTGCACCATTGTTGTTTGGAGATAATAGAGAGAGGTATGCTGTCACTTTGGTTGAGATGTTTTTATTTACGGTTTCCAAAATGTCAGCAAACGTCTTAGAAACATCACTCTTCTAGAGATGGTTGCAGAGCGCCGTCTTGTCCAACAGGCCAAAAACAAAATAACTGCTAGCTTTCAATACATGTGACGGAGTTCGGTCATCTACTGGTTAACGAACACTTGGTCAATCAGGACGGAAACAGACATGTTCACAAATCAGCTTCCTGCATGGTTTACGAAATCTGTGAGATATCAACAGAATTTCATGCTGATGGACTAAAAACTGGTCGTTTCCCATAGTTTTCTTTTGTCAATAATCACCTGTTCCTGATCAACACAAACTTTAAACATAAGGAGAGACGTTACCTCCAACCACTTGACGGAGTTTTGAGGGCGGTTGAGGCATCCCACACCGTGAAACACTAGGATTTCTTGAGGTACCCGGAAAAAGGGTTAGTGTGTGACCGTAGAGCCTGGGACCGGTCACGTACGGCCTTTTTGATTCTTTAACAGTTGGCCTGTGTTGTGGAAGATGTAGTCGGACATACATCCTGTGGTTTTGGATTGCCACTAACCACTGATGACTGATCTTAGCCACCATAATGCATCATCCCTTTGTTTGAGAACATGTCTAGGGTAACTGCTTTTTGTCTAACTGCTATGCAGCAGACTTTTCTGGTATGATAGGACCTCGATGGAAAAAGCTTTCTATCAACATAGGACGTTGGGTCCTCGTGATATACAAGCCTGACCGCCACATCAAGGTAGCAGCTACCAGTCGGGCCTCCAACCAACCGCCAACATCAATTCAATGATGGATGCAGATGGGTTGTCTTGCCACTAGCCATCGTTGAAGATGATCAATAGAGGGTTGTTGGCTTTTTAGAGTGCCTGATAATATTATTAGCTCTCATACAATTGGTGTTACTCATTGCACGCTGCATGAACATGTACGTGGTCAATGAGAGAGTTGTTCTTCTACCTACTTGAACGCTAATACTGGATTAGCTTGTGGATTTATGTGTCTTAAAAAATCCATAAAATGAACAGCTGTTAACTCTCCGAATTCTCAGTGATTGGTTTTCTTTCCCAGAGGACATTTACCTAACTTGAAGTGCGTTATATTCCTACTAAGCGAAGACACTGACGCAATTCAGAGTCTAATGAACACTGTGATCAGAATCCTAGTTTATTTAGCATGCCTTTCGCACGTATCGAATGGAAGGTAATACTTCAAGATCGGTCTGCACCGAATTCCAATGTAAGAATAGGAAGTGAAATTGTGAAATCTCAGCTCAAGTGGCCATTTGGTATTTCCCAACCTACATCATTCATAGAGTGATTGCGACATCCTACAAACTATCAACGGATGAGTATACTACGCAACAGTCTGATCTGTCATAATATACGACTATGGATCACGGTCGTCGAATGTAGAAGATGTAAGCAGGCTACGTGTTCTTGAATACTGGTGTTTGTAGCACTGCTAAAGCATGATAAAACCACCATGTGAGGTTGAGCACAGAATACTAAGCACGAAAGCAAATTAGTTAAAGAAATTGTAAACCTACATATGACATGTTGATTAAACTACTTGTTTTGTATATTTCCTATGTCAACAAAATGAAGAAAAACTACTATTCATATCGAGGGGATCTATTGTATGTGTGGCTTTAGTTGTACACTGTATAAGCAAGCTACAGTAATGGATTATATGATAAGGCGTGTACTCAGTGTGTGAGAACACATAAACCATATTGATAAAAGGCTGTTCGATGACTAGGGTTTATTACCTCTTGCAGTGGTATACACCTCTCATAAAACATAAGATGACCACAAAGGAAATGCACCACAAACACAATCGAGATACGCCATCGCTTAATATTTTGGTTGATTTTTTCTTCGTAATTACAAATGCTTCTAAATGATATAAGAATTAGGCAAGTTATCCTTTGAACTTTAGTCAACAAATCTTGGACAAACTTAAATCAAACATTATGCATTTTTCTATGACAAAATATACCAAGTTTAGGTAGGTTTTGCTGTAGACGATTCAATCATCAGGATATAAATAGTGTAAATGTTCAACAATATTCTAAAAATTTCCAAATATAACTGTTTGTTGCTGGGTGATAATTGAAGGTGAAATGAAAATTTAGACCATCACCACCGGATTCGAACCAGTGACCATCGGGTTGCCGGCCCCAACGCTCTACCAACTGAGTTATCAGGTCCGACTACTGACCAGATTTTTATCTCACTTCAATCATCAATATGATGCTCCCCCTCTGTAATCCAGTTAGATGTCGATTAGAATGAGAAGTACTGACTACTACGCAGCCAATGTGAGTACGATCAAGTAGTGGTAACACGTCACGAATTCACATGTCAATCATCGAGAAAAACCTTTGGTAATTGAAGTTAAATAAAAATCTGATCATTAGTCGTAGCTCATAGCTCAGTTGGTAGAGTATTGGTTTGGAAACCCGGTGTTTGGTAATTCGAATCCCGCCGCGGTTCAAAGTTCCATTTCATCTTCAATCATAATCCAGTAACAATACAAGTCTCAGATAGATGAAAGTGGTAATAACTATTTATGCTTGTTTTTTTTAGAAATAAAATGTTTCATTTTAGTTTAAATTAATACTTTATTGTGTTTGTATAAATACTAAAATTTTAGGGCTCGTTCAGTATTTGAACGAGCATTAGATGTGGACTATCGAAATATTGGTCTTTGGCTTAAATATGCTGAAATGGAAATGCGTCATAAACAAGTGAATCATGCACGAAATTTATGGGATCGAGCAGTTACTTTAATGCCTCGAGCTAATCAATTCTGGTATAAATACACATATATGGAAGAAACAGTAGGAAATATTGCTGGTGCAAGACAAATATTTGAAAGATGGATGGAATGGCAACCAGAAGAACAGGCTTGGCATGCATACATCAATTTTGAGCTTCGATATAAAGAGATGGATAGAGCACGTTTAATTTATGAACGATATATCCTTTTCATTAAATATATTGTTAATTTTTAATACTTTCATGGTCACCCTAATACCAGTTGAAATAACCAATCAGGCTTCTTTCTAGCTGGTATGAAGAAAGCGAATTGGTTATTTCATCCACCCCTTTTTACATATTAGAAATATTTACCTTCTTTTGATAGAGTTAATCATTTTATTCAATGCTTAGCGCCTTAACTACTATGCACTTGTTCTAGTTCATCCTGAACCGAAAAATTGGATTAAGTATTCAAAATTTGAAGAAAGAAATGGTTTCTTGAATTCAGCCCGAAAAGTATTTGAAAGAGCTGTAGAATTTTTTGGGACAGATAATCCACAAGCTCGTTTGTTGATTGATTTTGCTCGATTTGAGGAACGTCAAAAGAGGTAATAATAATTTATTTATTTATTATCCTTTTAACTATTTAAAATAGCAGCCGTTGTTTGCCAGATTTATGTTGATACTGGATTATGATTGAAGATGAAATGGAACTTTGAACCGCGGCGGGATTCGAATCACCAAACACCGGGTTTCCAAACCAATACTCTACCAACTGAGCTATGAGCTACGACTAATGATCAGATTTTTATTTAACTTCAATTACCAAAGGTTTTTCTCGATGATTGACATGTGAATTCGTGACGTGTTACCACTACTTGATCGTACTCACATTGGCTGCGTAGTAGTCAGTACTTCTCATTCTAATCGACATCTAACTGGATTACAGAGGGGGAGCATCATATTGATGATTGAAGTGAGATAAAAATCTGGTCAGTAGTCGGACCTGATAACTCAGTTGGTAGAGCGTTGGGGCCGGCAACCCGATGGTCACTGGTTCGAATCCGGTGGTGATGGTCTAGATTTTCATTTCACCTTCAATCATCACTCACTATCAACTATTTATTTGTTTTTTAAATGATGAAAACTGTTTGGTTTCTATTTTACACTTTAATTCATAATATGATAATTCATGTAAGAAAAGGTGTTGATACTATGCTTGATGTAAGAAGTAAATTATTATCAGGTCACCTTGGTGGGCTTGGCGATATGGTTCGTTGATTTAAACACTCAACCTTCAGACAGCAGTTCTTGGGTTCACAGCCTCCATCGCCTACTTTGGCTTGGTGCTTGCGGTCTATTGGTTAAGAGAGTTGGCTTTCGATCAATGGGTCACAAGTTTAAATAGCGCTCCACCCATCGAAGTTTCGGCAGCCACGGGACAAACATTGGGCATGGCTGATAGTGCGTTTCGTTCGTTTGTTCACTCGTCATACTTCGACCTGAGAAACCAGATAGTGTCATAAACCCTTCATGCAGCTAGTATGGTCGGTCACTTAGTACATAAACCCAGTACTGGGCTCAGCTACAATATTACTATTATAGTGATAAGCGTGTTAGTAATAATTACAAGCTACTCTAAGCTTCCAAAGAGATTTTTAAAAACTGAGTTTCAAATTTGTTTTAATAATATATCATATCACACCTGGCTTTTTTGGTTTACGAATAGCCTCATAAAATGTATCTATATCCGACTGAAATGTTTTAGAAAGGAGAGAAATACGTATCCTCGACCATACAGACAGACTATATAGCTGATATTCCTATTTTTTTTTAATCTGGAATAGGCTGTTTATTAGAGGTAATCGGCAGGAAGCCATGTATCTAGGTTTTTTACTTTTTTGCACTGGTCAGCAAGACGTATCTGCAACTTCACAGGAACTGATGTCCTTTCTGAGATTCGAACCCGCTTTACCCACTTTGTCTAACCTTCAGTGTGTAGTTTTGATGGATGTTAGTTAGTTGGAGGTAATCAGTATATAGCTCTGGTGGCTGGATTGCTAAAATGATTGATAGGATTCGGTCAGCATTCAGAACTAGACAACATGAAAATGGTTACAGGGTTTTGATCAGAGTTGCCTTCGTAACCTTGCTCACAGTTGGTAGAATCACCATATGGGCAGTGTTAAGGTTAGGCGAAGGATACTAAGCAAGTCGAATGAGATGGTTTGGACAGTTACTGCACATGCTGAGGCATCGCCTACCTCGAAATGCCACGCTAGCCTGGAGGAAGTTGGAATAGGTTGGATGATAGTTAAGGGTTGCCAGATCAAGATGTGATACCAATCGATGAAGTCTCTTCCTGTTGGTCTTAATTGTGTAGGGAGATGTAGACTGCCTGGTTGAGGTCCTTGAGACTAAAGGAATGAGCGGTTGAGGATTCTTGGTGGTATGCCTAAAAATAGGTCACGGTGGTCGGGACGTATTGACTCTTTGACATCTAAAGTTGTTGATTGTTATCACTTATTCTATCCACCTGTTCTTTATGTACTATTGTAAAGGTTAGCAACTTGAACTGATGTACTTGTATACGAGGTTCCACGTTGACTGTCCACTTTCTTTCCGGCCATCTGATCTTCAGTATCGAGCCAGCGTAGGGAGCAGTTGTTGATGAATATCTGTAGTTTGTTGAAAATGCTTTTCACGACTCGCCAAGTTTCTCAACCGTATAGCAGAGCTGACTTGTATGGATGTTTGGAATATGTTTCCATCTTTCTTATATTAAATGTTGTAGGGTTTATCTCCAAAATAAGATGTAAAGTGGTTATGAGTATTAACCACTTTGCTTATTTTTGAAGATTATAAGATTGACTAGGTTTTCTGCTAACATAATCCCAATGTATACTTACCAAATATGATACGAGTAAAAGATTCGATTATCTACCCAAGAGAGGAGTGTATATTTTATAGTATCCTTGTTCATACTCTATGGATGTTGAATTTCAGCAACTTGAGAAGGCTTAAGATGTTCGGTTATATATCTGTTATGAAATATAACTGGCGTTTAATAAATCTGTTGAATTATCTTTGGCGGGAGATATAAGCTCTTTAGATAGGATTTGGAGTATGCTAGAAACCAATCACCAGGATGCCTCAATGATGTGACTATAAGTAGTTCACAATTAGTACATAGCTATTGACTTTTTTTTCTTTCTTTGGGAATGATTATTCCCCCACCCTCTCCGCTTTTGTTAAATATGAACAATTGAACCGATATGCTTTTATGTGACATTCTATCGTTTTGTAATCTGTCTTTGTTTACAAGACTTTACGGTTTTTCGTGAGTCTCAAGTTTTTGCCACTGAGTGATAATGATTGTCTTCAAAGACCATTAGTATAGGCCGTATTCCGTGGTGTCACCACGTAAGTAACGCACAAGTCAGACGTACAGTTTTAGAGGGTAGAGGTAAATCAGTTGATACAGTTGTGAACATTCATCGACTGAGATGGCTAGCTGTGACATGAGTTACGTATGCCTAGTCGCTGTCTGCCTCATCACATAACGTTGACCGAAGTAGGTTCAGGCTGGGAAACGGCTTGAGGTGGCCAGACTAAAACATGGCATCAATGTATAAACTGTTTGATTGTTGGTTTCAGCCATGTGGGGCGATGCAGACTAGGTGGCTGGGGTCCGCGGGACAAAAGAAACTAGTGGTTGGAGACTGACTCTAGGTGATCACGTGACTCAGAATCGATGTCAGTGGTGCAGATGTATACACACACACATTATCCTCATCTTAATGAAGCTATACCGAATCTCACCATCTTCACATTCTTGCTTCCTCTCTTGTACTACTTTATATTTCTTCTGACTGCATTCTCTTATCTTCATCTTGCACCTCACTGCCTTTGTTACTTGATGTACTGATATGCGGTGTGGCAAGTCGGTCCTATGTTGATTTGAATGAATGGAGGCAACCAGGTAGTGTCATTAACTATAACATAATAGGTATGGCTTATTGCTTTTTTGCATATACTTGCTAATTTGAACCTTGACCTTTTCTATGCACATATAATACACTGTAAAATCCAATAAACATCATAATTTATAATTGTAAAACTGCAGAACCTCGCAGTTCATCATCATCATTATCAACATAGGACCAGGCATTACTGCGTAACGGTCCGAGTTGCCACACCTCATATCAGCACATCAAGTAAGAAGGTAGTGAGGTGAAGGATGAAGATAAGTGAATTCAGTCAAAAGAAATATAAAGTAGGAGAAGAAAGGAAAGAGGAGTGACAAAATGGTGAGATTCGGTATAGCGTTGTTAAGATGAGGATAATGTGTGTATACATCTGCACCACTGACATCGGTTCTCAGCCATGTGATCACCTAGGGTCTCCAACCACTGGTTCCTCTTGTCCCGTGGACCCCAACCACCTAGTCTGTATCGTCCTACATGGCTTAAACCAACAGTTAAAGACTTCATACATTGGTGTCATGATTTAGTCTGGCCACCTCGGGCCTTTTTCCAGCCTGGACCCACCTGAGCCAAGATTGTGTGACGAGGCAATCGGTGACCAGGCGTAGGCATACGTAGTACGTGTCCCAACCATCTCAGTCGATGAAGGTTCACAACCTCGTCAACTGACTTACCTCTCCTCCCTAAAACTCTACACCTAACTTCTGCATTACTCACATGGTGACACCACGGAATACGTCCTATACTACGAAGGCAACGGTGGTCAAATACCTGTAACCTTCTCATGTCTTCCACTTTCAATGGCCGTGTTTCACAGCCATACAGTAGAACAGACCGGACTGCTGTGCAGTACACGCGACCCTTAATAGACAATCGGATATCACGGCGGCGCCATAGGTGGCGTAAATTTGCAAAAGCCAATCGAGCCTTTTGTATCCGTGCAGAAATCTTATCGGCAACTAACCCACTGGGGTTGATCCTACTTCCCAGGTAAGTGAAGTGGTCAACACACTGAACCACTTCACTCTGTATTGTTAGCCGCAGTGGGGCACCGCTGAAGACCAGTCCTGGAGCAAAAATTTGCATTTGGGTGGTGAAAATCTCATCCGAAACATTCTCATATGGTCTACTGAATACAGGAGCTTATTCACTGGAGAGATGGAGAAGCGTATAGAGAGAATTGTAACACAGTAGTAAATGAAATACCGTTTAAGGTGATCAGAAACCGATCATATATTTTGAATCCATCTTAATTCCTTTCTACTTTATTGTGTTCTTCTTGTACTTATTTTCAGTATGAACGTGCTCGAGTTATTTACAAGTATGCCTTAGAAAATTTACCAAAAGAAGATTGTCAAGAGATTTATAAAGCTTATACACTACATGAGAAAAAGTATGGTGATCGACTAGCTATTGAAGATGTGATTTTGAACAAAAGAAAATTTCAATATGAAGAGGTGAGTTATTGAAAAGATACATTATTCCTGTTATTAACTTTGATTGTCTTTCTCTCTCTTGAATTTCAATTGTAAGTAGTCATAGTTATAGACTTGGTTGTATTATGTTCTCTCAGTTGGGTTGTTTAATCGTGAAGCTTTCATTGTCTTTCTTCTAGACTACATCATCATCAGCACCAACTTCAGTATGAAGTGAGCTGTCAGTATTTCTCCATGAGTGAGTGATTTAGTAGCTTGCCTTGACGAAGTGGTCTATGATTGGTTGTTTCCTTTGAATGTTGTGTCATTGATTGACTGTATAGATTTTCCTATTGGCTGTCCCTCTGCTTGACCTCTAACGTTTCTGTCGTTTATCATTTTTCTTATTGGTTGGTAAGTTGGGTCTATGTCTATACATCTATTGGTTGCTGACTGACCTGAATGTTCATCCTAAAGAAGAACAACTACCCACGAAACTTTATCAGAAGATACCTATCCCGTACATCATCAATGATAAAGTCATCAACAGAAATCAATAAACGCATCATTCTACAATACATAAAGAATATGTCAGAAATCACGACAAGATTACTGAAACCACTTGGAATTGGTGTGGCTCATAAACCAACAAATTCTGTGCATACACTATTATGCAGACTGAAGGATGCAACAACCAAAGAGGACAAACTGAATATCATCTACAAAATCAACTGAGATAGTTGTAGTCAACACTACATTGGACAAAGTGGTCGTCCTCTTCGCCTTCGTCCATATAAGCACCAATTGGCTATTAAACGTCATGACATTTCATCACTCATTTCAATGCATATGGATAATTATGGACATGGATTCAATTTCGACAATGTAGAAATCTTGGACGGGGAGGAAACACAAAGAATATCAGGAAATTCCTAGGAGTTTGGCATTCAGTTCAGTCAGTCAGCAATCAACAGATATATAGACATAGACCCAATCTATCAACCAATAAGAAAGATGATAAACGACAGAAAGGTAAAAAGGGCAAGCAGAGGGATAACCAACAGGATAATCTATACAGTCAATTAATGACACAACAATCGAAGGAAACAACCAATCACAGACCATATCGTCAGAGTAAGCCGCTAAATCACTCACTAATGGAGAGATATTGACAGTTCACTTCATACCGAATTTAGTGCTGATGATGATGTCGTCTAGAAGAAAGACAATGAAAGCTTCACGATTAAACAACCCAACTGAGAGAACACAATACAACCAAGACCATCCACCTGAGCTTCAAATATTCTCCACTATTTCAATACTACTGACTAAAAGCTTATCAACAAAGGAGCATTTTAATAATTACCAATCTCATTCGATGAAGAAGGTATTTCTTTGATAAGAATTCATTTTAAGTAACCTAGTTAGTTGATTGATCGTAGTGATATACGGTGACAGCCATCTATACTTCACTTGAAATCTTCAAGATAAGTACTGCAATAACTGAACTTTGGTTGATAGATAGATAGATAGATATATATAGATTTCAGTGGACGAACTTGAAATAGTGACAAGTTAGTAAGAGACCACCTTATCATTCTACAAGTATCATAGATGCAAGCTGTTTAAATAGACGAAAAAGTAGGTATAGAAATATGAAAAAGAACATCTTATATCATGGAATATCAGTAAGCATTCAGCTGTGAAATTGTATATAGGCGTAGAACTTGGGCACTGTGGTAGAATTTAATCCCACATATTAGATTTGTTTATTTGATTTTTAACACACAGTGATCTATTATCATTTACTTGATGATGACATTTTAAGGATAAATTATCACTATGTTTAGTAATGATTGGCAGTGGCTAGCAGTGAAATCCAAGATGCGCATTTCGTCCTATTTGGGACTCGTCAGCTGGATGTACCTGCTTCCCAGTGAGTAATGTTGTTCCCACCGGGACTCGGACTCGGGAGCGACCGCTTCAAACGCCAGCGCGTTATCCACTACACCACCGAACCACGATAGCCACTTCTTGTGCAACGGGTATAGGTCTTAGTGTTATTGCTTGTATTACACTGATCAATTCGGTCCAATCAACGACGGTGTAGTGGATAACACACTGAGATTTGAAGCGATCGCTCCCGAGTCCGAGTCCCGGTGGGAAAAACATCACTCACTGGGAAGCACGCACATCCAGCTGAAGAGTCCCAAATAGGACGAAATGCGCATCCTGGATTCCACTGCTAGCCACTGCCCATCATTACTAAACATAGTTAAAAGACAGGCCATATCGAGGCATCTGCATTGGAGCCCATATGCCAACAGAAACTCATCAATGCGGTCCAATCAACGACGGTGTAATACAAGCAATAACACTAAAATAAATTATCACTGCTCATAATTATACCTCAATGTAATCACACCACTTCCGATATCTCGTTTTTATAGTTACGTCACTTCGTATTCTTTATCTCACTCGGCAACAAACTTTTTCATATCTCTCGTATAGACGTTGTATCATTTCCATTACGTGTTGGGTTGGTGTGTTTTGATTCGATGAACAAAGATTCAGTAATCTATCTCTCCCTCTCTCTCCACCTAATTATATTGGACTTGAGTGCAGTGGCTTTATCCCACCCACTCCATTGTGCGGTTGTGTGTTAATGTATGCATTACAATAGACGAGTCTCCTTCTAGATTATTGATCGAATTGGGGTCTGTTGTTCTACATTCAGTTAAACTCCTATGTTCAGTTATTCTAAGTGACTCCGACCGACTAGTTTGACCTCACAGTCATTACATGGAATTTGATAGATTGGATTATTTTGCTTAATTGGTTCTACCAGATCCTTAAGCCAGTCGACAAAGTTTATCTCTGAGTGAGTTTGTAGGTTTAAATGTCACCTTAATCCCAGCTCTGTTGAGGATTCTACGTAAAGTTTCTGAGGTACCCTCTTTATAGGGTAATACAATGGAGTCTGTGAACTCCTTTCTATTTGTGTTGACGTTACTAGTCACACTCGTGTGACTGTAATTTTTTTCTTTTTTTGTGTGTCCGTAAGAATTTCTTAATAAACTAGGGAGGATAATTATTAACTATTAGCGCTTCGTTAACGTGTTTTATTTCCTTGTTTAGGTTCTTGCACTGACTAGTCAGTTTTCTAGCTGTGTCATTTAGACATTTGATTAATCCTGCCTTAACTGACATTGGATGGGATGATCTGAAGTCTGAATACCTGTTGGAATGTGTTGGTATTTTGTAGACAGTAGTATCCAAGCCACCATCTGTCCTTCGTTTTATCCTGCAATCCAACATAGACAATTCTCCTTGTTGATTTTCTACCTCCTCGTGAGTGAATTGCACTGCGCCTACTACTGAGTTCGTATGCATGAGGAAATCATCGATATGTTTCGATTTTAACAGAGTAAATTAGTCATCCACATATCGTCACCATATTTTTGGTGTATGACTAAACGTTTGTAAAGCTATGTTTTCCTAACTATCCATAAATATATCTGCTACTATTGGGGGTATTGGTGATCCCATTGCTACTCCTTCCCTTTGTCTGTATATTTTATCCTGAAACCTGAAGATTATGGAGGTCAGACACAATTGTATGCCTAATATGATCTCATCAACCGATATCTTAGTTCTGTGAGTAAGTTCTGAGTCAATATTTCGTTGACTTCTGACTGCCTCCAGTGCCATATTGATTGATATTTTGGTATAGAGACTAGTTACATCGAACTAACCATTTTTTCATCCTCTTAAGCTTAAGTTTTAACTCGTAAGAGTTTAGTAGTCTTGAATTTGAACGGTTTCTAATAGGGCATAATATTGAAGCTAAGTACTTTGCTAGTTCATATGTTGGGGGTATTTCTGAAGTCAACTAATGGGTCTAATGGGATAACCTGGTTTATGAACCTTAATAGTGCCATGAATTCTGCTAGGATTATTAGTTTTAGGCATTAAATTAAACCGTTCAGATTCACCTAGAGATAGTTTTAGTCGGCGTATCAGATCAGCTGTGGATTTCCTGATTTTATTCATGACCGCGTCTAAGGGCTTCTTGATTTCTTCATATGGTCCTGTTTGGATATGTTTGTCAATTTTGTTGAAGTAATCCAGTCTGTCCATAACTACTGTTGAATTACCTTTATCGGACTTAACAATTACTATATTATTGTCATTCCGTAGACTGCTCAGTGCTGAATTTTCAAGTGTCGTTACCTTCGACTGTCTTTTCTTTTGTCTTTTCAGTGTTAACGCACACTGTGCTCTAACCTTTGAAATTGTATACCCTAGTACCCACTAGTCTTGAGTTATGCTGCATAGAACCTTCTCAGGAATAAACAGTTCAAAAAAACTTACAGTCTCTCCTGGCTCCAGTTACTAAGCCTATGCTCTTTTTAAGGTTCCATTTTACTATGATTCAAGCATTGGTTAGTGGTATTAAGATATTGAAAAGCTCATATGGTACAACATTTATCTTTAAACAGACAAAGCGAAAACATTTGGATAACCATGAAAAACAACTGCGACTTGCTGAAAGGTATATTATATTTATGCAGGACAGATCATTTCCAAAACTGATGTGTATACAAAAGGGGAAGCCCGAACTGTACGTGTTATCTTGATGTGGTGGTCGGACTTGGATATCACGACCACCCCATGAGGTATACCGCCTGGAATGCTTGTTCCCTCGAGGTCCTATTATGCCAGAAACGTTTGTTGGACAATGGTAAGACAAAAAGCAGTTACCATTGTAGTGTAAATTACTACACTATGATGAGGTTGTGAGGGAGAAGTCATACTGCTGTTTGCTGGATGGAGTGTTTCCCTTGAATGCCACACTGATGCTGCTTTCCCTATGGGAAGAAAGGATTAGAAAAGGTCGGCCCCCAAAACAACACACTCCTTCCTGCTCCACGGTCTTCCGATGCTGACGTTAGAGCAACCTAATCTCAAAAAAGCAACGCCGTAAAGTGTGTGAGATGGGCCTCAGTTAGATTTTCCATGGGCTCTGCGGTCATGCAAATCTTTCCTTTTTTCAATTACCTTATAAAGAAATAACTTTTCACGGTTTGGGCAACCGGAAGGTGTCAACTGCTCGCACGGTTCCATTAGTATGCTTTAGGGTTGTGTTATGACGTAGTTTACTGACTCATTGGTTGATTATTAGTCTGAGCTATGTTTGACTAAAGTCCTCGAGACGATAGAAATCAATGGTTAGAGAGTCTTGGTAACACTGCTGTAAATCAATCACAATAGCACATATCTATACACTCTTCTCATCTTCGAGGTCGTCAATATTTTGATTAACCTTCATCCATATATCCTCTCAATTCTCGTACACTATTGTCTAGCTTAACATCACTCTTCTGATTTATTTCTTCTCTGCACACTATTGCAAAGTGAAGCACTTATGTGCCAGGTTCTACACTGACTTATCTGTCTCTGAATCATTGACTACTTGAAGCCACTTTTTATGGATTGGTGATCAAACTTTATTAACTGGGAAAATAATTTTATTTTAAAATATGATGACTATTTGTTGGTTGCATATAATGACAGCTTCACTGTTTTCCTCGTATTTCTTGTTGTCACACTTAATCCATCATTTTTGATAAACATGTTTTAATACAACCGCCTATTCAATTTGGTGGTTTCTGAGGATTTATATGTTGAATGACTCGTTTCGACAGGCGATTCTTAAAGTTCCAATGAGAAGTTGTGATCGTTGTGGCAAGCCAAATCAAACATGAGGAAAATTATTCAACGATGGGATTAGATGAAGGTTGCGCTATATCATGAACTGACAGAAGTGAAAAATATGAACCATAAGATTCCGATCTAAAGGTTTGAAGGTAACGAGCTAGCCGCGCAATCTGAGTTTCCTGGGTTCGATCACTAGTGGCGTCATGGGTAGATACTGCTGAGGAGTCTTGTGCTGGGACGAAACAGATGTTCAGTTCTCCAACTGATATCATTCCATGGTGAATACCAACATGAAGTCAACCAACTATTTCTTAAATGTTTAATGATTAATACAAATTTTTTTATTTGGTTTCAGGAAGTTCAAGCCAATCCTCATAATTATGATGTGTGGTTTGATTATGTTCGTTTAATGGAAGAAGAAGGTTCAGTGGAACAAACACGAGAGATTTATGAACGTGCTATTGCCAATGTACCTCCAATTAAAGTAAGCCTATACAATTATTCATTGGATTTTCAATGTAGCAAATGATTTTTTAAATCAAGTTTTGCACGATAAATCAGTGCATTATTATTATTATTTGTCCCTTGGGTTCCTAGTGGAACATAAGGCTTCAGTAGCACGTCTCCAGTGACCTCTGTTCTCTGTAAACTTTTCAACCTGGCTCCACGACAACCCGGAAGCCCTCATTACTTCCTCACACGATATCCTCCATATCACTCTCAGAGTCCAACTCGTCGTTTCCCATCCCAGGTTCCACTCGACGGACTGGCAGGCCTGACGCGTGATGTCCCCGAACGGTCCTCTCAGTGTATCCCCAATCCAATTCATCTCCACTTCCTTCTACTGCAAATTTGTTGAGCGATAGGTTCTTGATTGGTTCGTCGACAGCGACAATGAGTTCCTTGTTGCTTATTCTTATAATTCTGGACATCTGATCTTCAGTAACGAGCCAGCATAGGGGGCAGTTGTTGGTGAATGTCTGTAGTTTGTTGGAAATGCCTTTCGTAACGCCCCAAGTTTCTGAGCCATACAGAAGCACTGACTTGACTGAATTGGTGTTGAAAATCCGGATCTTGTTCACGCTTTATGCTGAGTGCAGAAGATCTCCACACTGGTTTCAGGTTAATGAACGCTTTTCCGATCCTGGGTTTGACATCCTCGTCTGTGCCGCCTGTAGTTGAAATGATGCTGCCCTGCCTAGGTAGGTGAAAGAGGCTACTTCCTGTTAGTTTCCCCCATTAATGGTGATTGGTACATGTTGTTGTTGGTTGTGTATCTTCATCACGTCTGTCTTGTCTACGTTCACGTGATTGAAGTTCCGTCTTCCTTCGCTGCCTCGCCTCTTCTGTCAACTTGTTAGTTTTCGCCTGTAGATCTTCGAGTTTGTGCGACATTAGACACAAGTCATCACTGGCGAAATCCAAATCTTCTAGGATCTTTTTGCCAGTCCAGCGTATCCCACTCTTCTTGCTCCTCACTGTTTGTTGCATGATCCAGTCCAGTTCACCACAATCAGGAAGATTATGGGTGATAGTAAGCAGCCTTGTCTTACTCCTGTCTTCACTTCAAAGGCATCACTGAGCTCTTCATTATGGATCACACTCGGCATGTGGCGTTTTCACATAGCTGTTGAATGAGATTGATAAAGGTTTTTGGCACTAAAACCGTAGTATTGGAGCAGTTGCTTGTCAAATTACTTGTCGATTGACGCTGTCGAAGGCCTTTTTGAAGTCGATGAAGTTGAGGTAGAGAGTTGACTGCATTCTATGCTCTGTTCAGTGCATTAGTAAATAGCTAATATTTAAACATTTATATAAAATTCTTGTCTTTGGAAAATTATAGACTTTCAAATTTTGGTGATGAACAAATCATTCTTTTATGGCCATTACTGACTGAGTGACTAATAAAATCACCGTAGAACTTCACACACATAGGTGCATCGGCTCTAGTTGTCGCATTTCACAGTAGTATACAAAGGACACGTGGATAGAAAAAGTGATATTAATGTAGAAGTTGTGTAGGAGAATAAGCAACTTGAAGATAAGGGTTAGTGTGAATATTCAAGCTATAGAAGAGGTTAGGGGATGAATACATCTGGGCCTTTGTGATCACTTTCTGGCCTTGTCACCAAGTGTCCTCAACTGTTGATTCCTATCGTCTCAACAACCCCAGTCAGCTAGTCAATATTTCCCAACACGGCTGATACCAATAGTCAGGGACTTCATCGACTGGTACCAGGTCTTTGTTTGGTCACTGTGAACTCTCTTCCACTCTAATTTGACTTCTCCTAGCACGGCGATTGGAGGTAGGTGGTGGTGGTTCTCAGTAAGAAGCACAGTACATAGATGTTCACGACATCTCAGCCAATGGAAGTTCATAACCTCATCAATTAACTTGTCTATCTTGCCTAGTACTCTTCGCCTGACCTCGACACTGCTCACACGATGATTCCACTAAACCCGGGTAGTGCTATGAAGATATCCGTGATCAAAACCCAGTAATCGCTTCATGTCTTCCACTTTTAGCTGCCATGTCTCAGATCTGTGCAACAGAATAGAACGGACTGTTGCTCAGTATAATCGTCCTTTGATAGATGGTCGGATATCTCGCCAATCGACACCACAGGTGACGTAAGTTGATCAATGCCAGACACTTTCTGTATCCGAGCTGAGCTTTCTTCAGCAATCAGCTTGTCTGAGCTGATGTAACTCTCCAAGTAAGTGAAGTGGTCGATATATCCCACGATTTCAGCCCCTAGTTATAGAGCATCATATTACATTTGATAGGTTCCAGCGAAATGCATGCTCAACGCTTTCGGAAGACTCTGGATTTTGTCAGCGTCCTCATCTAGCAGTACTAAATCGTTTGCATATTCCAAGTCAATCCCTGTGAAGTCAGCCATAATTAAGGCTACGTCAGTTAGTATGTCTGTGGCGAAGTTAAATAGGAACAGCGACAGTGGACATTTCTGGCAAACACCACTAGTTGTTGTCAATTTCGATGTCAACTCTCCATAAGCCCTGAAATGGCTGGAAGATTTCTCTCCCTTCTTGTAGACTGGGATAATCAGTTAAGCTCACTAATTCGACGGCACTAGTTCTGATTCCCGCACATTGCTTAGTACTCCTGTCACTAAGCAGTAATTCCCCACCCCCATCCTTGAAAACACCAGGTGGTGAACTATCACGTCATGCTGCTTTGCATCCCCTCAGGTTCGATAAAGCTTTCTCAACTTCTAGGAGCGTTGGAGAACCGACGTCCACGTCCCACTCACTTTCAAGAAGGCTGATTGTAGTGCAAATAAAGCGTCACCGTGGGCCGACCAAACTGTGCCTCAGTGTTCCGCCCACCGTTCTAACCATTTATCCTGAAAAGTTATCAGAATGGCATCCTTTCCTATGATGGTTTCACTCACCATCGTCTTCTTGTTGATGTCCTTAATATGCCTAAAGAGTCTTCTGACTACATTATCCAAATTCATAAAAGGGACTAATTGTTTCGAGTTGCGGAGTGTTATTCAATATTGATACCTTCTTCGCCTCTCTCGCTCTCGCCACCGACTGCTGCTCGCGATCACTGCAAGGACTGTCGGTCAACTGAAGTTTAGGTTGTTTCCGCTCTTCATCGTGGTCAGAGCCAGCTGAAATCAGTCTTCTCGCATCAACTAGTTCGAATGACGCTGCGGAAATCCAATAACGCTTGCTAGCCGTCGGGTGTTCACGATACTGTTTCTAACACAGTCTACTATGATAGTGAGGATCATTGAAAATCGGAAACGTTCTTTATGCTAACTTAACTCCTCTTCTTCAAAGGGTCAATGCGTATATAAAACGCAACTTATACATAAATGTTAGTTGCCTGACTTAGGTTTTTTGGTTGTTGGCGCTCGTAAGGCGTATCTGCAACTTTGACAAAATTGATGTCCCGCCTTAGATGTGAACTTGCGTCACCCAGTGCAGCAGTCAGAGACGTTACCTCTAAGCTATTCTGGCCACAGTTGAGTTCCTGTATGACCTTATTAGATATATTGGTTGGTCACTGGGGAGCAACCAATCCCAGTTCAGTCAGCATTCAAGACTGCACTGCATGAAATTGGCCACTCTCCTGTGACCAATCAGTGTATCTAACCCACTCATGCAGGAGGTTAATCGCGGCCTGAATGGCTTAGTTGCAACGTCGTTGAATATAACACTTGGTGATGTAAGTGAGAACCTTTGGCGGGGCATCAGTTCCATTGAGGTTGTAGATACGTCCTTATGACTAGTGGCGACAAGCAAAACTCCTAGGTCCAGGGCTTCCTGCCGACTACCTTCAACCAACTGGCATAATGATAATTTTTATGTGTTCTCCACGTTGTTTGACGCTTGTTTTTGAAGGTTTCATCAACAAGCTAGTCGACATCATCGGCACGTGATGTATTTACGAGTTGCGTGCATGTGTATCAATGTAGGACGCTTTGTCGACCTTGAAATTTATTCGGTTGTGGGTAGCGATGATTTTCTTATCCCTTTTATGACCTACGTTCTTGTCACATTATGCTTAGTAGATGGAATATGACTAGTGTGACCATTTAACCTTTGTTTACTAACCTAATATATTCGGTCATTGATTTGCTTGATTAGCCTCTAGTCGGTTGATCCTTTCGTAACAATCTGTATACGCGTCTACATCCATGTGACTGTCAACTGACATTTCATTCGAGTACCACACTTCTAGAAATTCTATTTTAGTTTTTTGACGGTTACGTGTTTTAGTTTTTCCACGTTATTTCAGCCGAAGTAGTGATTATGCCTTGTCGGGATGTATTGACTTCTATAATGATAGGTCATATTGCCTAACAGACAGCTGATGCTCACAAAGTCACTGGGCTATCCAGGAACATCACTGAATTGTTCAGTCAAGTAGTGTGTGTGTGTGTGTGTGTGTGTGTGTGTGTGTGTGTGTGTGTGTGGAAGATACAGGGTGTCTAGTTGGGGGGTTTTTGAGGTATTAAAATGTGGTGGTTGTGGAGACCTTTTCTGATGTGGTTCAAAATAGGTGTATGCACTATTTGTCATCTCTGAAGTCTTGAACAGTTTCCTTAGTCGTTATTCATCGTAGACTGACATCAGTTGGAAGAACAAAAGAAACCTAGGAGCACTGGACAGCTGCTTCGTCCTAGTATGGGACTCGGCAGTGCGCACCCACGACCCCGCCAGGGATCGAACCCGCGACCTTCAGGTTCCGTGACCAGGACGTTGCCATCGAGCCACTGGGTCAGAATCCAACGGTCCATATTTCAAACTTCTGTTAGCTCATGATATAACGCAACCGCCACCCAATGTCATCGTAGAGTAACTGTCCTCATGACCATCAGGCTTTGCCCCCACCGGACGAAACAGCTGTCCCAGTGCTCCTAGGTTTCCTTTGTTCCTCCAACTGATGTCAGTCTATGGTGATAACAACTTGAAATATTTCCAAATCTCCACAACTCCCTCAAAATTCAGTTTCCTTAGTCTTTTTCCATTTATCATATTTACTCCTATACACTCGTCCACTCTAATCTATCCTTATTTTTGTCTTCACTTCCGCTAAGCCTGCTGATATGAAGTGTGGTAACTTATGCGTTGATATTTCTTTTTGTAGCTGTCAGCTTGCACTATCCAATACACTTATCTGTGTGTGATTGACTCACTGACTGACTGAATCACTTCTTTCCTTGAAGCTACTTGTAATCATTCCTATTTGATCGTTTTAAAAGTATGAATTAAACCTTCGAAGTTTACGTATCAGACATTCATTAGCTGGTATTTTTCTCTGGATCACTTCCACTTGGTAAGACTCAGACAGACGTAAAACCTCGCACACAGGTGCATCAGCTGTAGTTGTCACACTGCACAGAAGTACACAAAGAACAAGAGGATAAAAAGAGAGTTATATCAAAGTAGACAAAGGTGTATGAGAGGGTAACAAATTTGAAAATGAAGGTTAGTTTAAATATCGAAGCTTTGAAAGATGTCAAGGAGTGAATACATCTGTGGCGTTGTGACTGACTTCCCGCCTTATCACCAAGAGTTCTCAACCACTGATATCTATCATCTCTGGGACTCTAACCAAGTAGTCTACATCCCCTCTATAGAGGCCTCATGAGCTAGTTCCACGTCTTAATCTGGCCTCCCTAAACTCTTTTCCAACCTAATCTAGCTACTACTAGCATGGTACTTGGTGAGATCTTGGTTATCTGTAGGTTGCCCTACCCTATAATTTGTCTTCCTAACTGTCAGATGAATCTTCTGGATCAGACTTAAAAGACAGATATGCAGAGTAATGGGTAAAAAGAATGCCTTTGAAAATACTATGAGCCGTTACTGGTTTTCTAACATTCATAGTAAAGATGACAAAAGTGGTGAGATGTTACCTATTATGCTGAAAATGTTATTTCGCAAGATTATTAGACTTTTTTAGCCTTAAGGTGATAATGACCTGAAATTTAGTTTACAATGTATACGTTTTGAGGTGGAGATGGATTGGCCATACACTGAGAAGACCATTCGGGGATATCACACCCCAGGCCAGACCACGTCGTCGAGTGGAACCCAAATTGAAAACGACGAGTTCAGCGTCCGAGGGTGACATGGAAGAGATGGTGTGAGGAAGAAATGAAAGCTTCTGGGCAGTCGTGAACCCAGGTTCAAAAGACTACAGAGAAGAGAGTGAAATGGTGACATGCTACTGAAGTCTTATGTCTTACTAGGAACCCAAACGACAAATAATAATGATAAGAATTTCAAGGTTATTTCCACCACTGACTTTAGAGCGGTTTCAGCGTAGTTTGTGACATTATCTTGTCAGGTCGACCAAGTTGGGGGATGAAGATAGTTACTCATCGATGACGTTATATGATGGTTGAGGTATATTGCGGACACTGACAGAAGTGAGAAATACGGTAACATTGGATTCCAACCTGGTGGCTTAATGATGACGTCCTAACTGCAAAATATGACGGTCTTGTGCTCCATGTTTGGTGACCTTTTGGGTGTATGTGTGCGTTTATAGAGTTGCGAACTAGGGCGAACCAACTGTCCAGTGTTCCAAAGTTTTCAACGCTTCTCTATCTGATGTCAATCTGTGGTGAGAATTGTCTTGGAACCAATGAATCCCTATTAACTAGCAACTGAGTTATAATGATTTCAAGTCCTTTTTCAGATGTTACAATTTTAGTTTCTGATATGTTTCTTATTTTCGAATACACTGGATTGTTTGCACAGTCTTTTGGGGATAAACAGGTATAGGCATTTAATGAATAGAATCGATTTATCTTTTGCGCCTAGTGTTATAAAATGATATGATCATTGTTTATTCTTTTTGGTGTTGTTGTTATTGTTGTTAATTTATTTAGGAAAAACGATATTGGAGACGATATATTTATCTTTGGTTGAATTATGCACTTTATGAAGAATTATCAGCAATTGATATTGAACGAACACGTCAAGTCTACCGATTCTGTTTAAAGTTAATACCACATAGACGTTTTACATTCGCTAAAATTTGGTTGTATGCAGCTAAATTTGAAATTCGTCAAAAAAGTTAGCTGATGCTAGAAAATTATTGGTTAGTTGTTTTGTTTTTTCTCTGAATATATATTCATGATTTCATTTATGCTTCGTCATCATCATCATCAAGGATTATTGCCTTACGATCCAAGTAACCATACATCCATACTAGCACACTAAGTTATTATTATTAGTCCCTTGGGTTCCTAGTGGAACATAGGGCTTCAGTAGCACGTCTCCAGTGCATTCTGGTTCAACGACAGCCCACAAGCTCTCATTTCCTCCTCGCACCATCTCCTCCATGTCACCCTCCACACCGACGTCCAACTCGTCGTTTCCCATCTGGGTTCCACTCGAGGGACTGGCCTGACGCGTGATGTCCCCAGTCGGCCTTCTCAGTGTATGCCCAATCCATCTCCACTTCCTTCTGCATATTTGTTGCGTGATAGGTTCTTGGTTGGTTCGTTGCCAGTGAGAGTTTCTTGTTGCTTATTGCTTCTGGCCATCTGATCTTTAGTAGCGGGCGTAAGTAGTTGTTGATGAATGTGTGTAGTTTATTGGAAATGCCTTTCGTAACGCGCCAAGTCTCTCAACCATCACACAGAAGCACTGACTTGACTGAGGTTGGTGTTGAAAATCCGGATGTTGCTCACGCCTTATGCTGAGTGGAGTGCAGAAGATCTCTACACTGGTTTCAGGCTAATGAACGCCTGTCTTGCTGTCTTTCGGATCGTGGTTTTGACATCCTCATGTGTGTTGCCTGTAGTTGAAACAGTGCTTCCTAGGTTACTTCCTTTAAGTTTCTCCCGTTGATGGTGACTGGAGTTTGTTTTAGTTGATGGTGCGGTATCTTCATCACTCCTGTCTTCTCCATATTCACTTGAAGTCCCGTCTTCGCTGCCTCTTCTGCCAACTTGTTAGTTTTCGCCTGTAGACCTTCGAGTTTATGTGACATCAGGCACAAGTCATCGTCGGCGAAATCGAGATCTTCTGGGTTCTTTTCCGCAGTCCAGCCAGCGTATCCCCCTCTTCTCGCTCCCCAGCACACTAAGTAATAAAGTAATACGACAAAAGATAAAAGAAGGATGAAAAATGCTTTAGAAGTAGGGAAAATTAATGAAATAGAGAAAGAATAAGAAGAAAATGCTGAATTCAGTATAATGGTTAATATGAAGATAAAGTGTAGATACATCTACCCTATTGACTGTAATTCTTAACCATATTTTAATGATGAATAGTAGCTAACAATGGAATCCAGGACGCAAGTCTAGTTATAACACTATAACATCATGAATATCTTACAGTATCGAGGTATCTTCATCCTTATTAGCACTGATCTTGACTCGTATTGATGAAACTGAATTTAACAAGGTTGTGAACAATGAAACTTATTAAAATTTCAGCTGGTGAAACACGATCACTTTTCCCCCATTGATTTATGATACGTTAGTAACTTTGAATTTCTTTTCAAGAGATTTAGAACCAAAGTAATTCTCTAATAATGAATTAAACGCTAAAGTTATGCTGAAATCTCCCCCTCCCCCCAAAAGGATTTGTCTGAAATATATGGCTTTAAACACCTTGAATTGTGAGGTGTCTATGGGTTTATCGGTATCAAAGCACCTTACAAAAAGTATGTCAACAGTACAAACAGTAAGGTTGTGTCCAAAACCAACCAGAGGGGAGAATAAAAGTCGCGCATATCCTACGACAAGGTTAAGAAATGAGAGAAACAAATGTTCAAGGTAAAATAGAACATTAAGGAACAAAAAGAGAAAACTCAACACTGTTAGGAATCAGGAAGGGTACTTATATCTAGGGATGTTAAATGATGAACAAGTGAATAGAATAAATAGTTAATTTGCGGATAAAGTAATGTGAATTATACTACTCAACAATGCTAAGTAGTATAAAAGTGCATAGGTTCAAGTTACCACACCTCACAGTACCATGCAAAGAACAAGTGGATAGTAGAAGTTATTACAAAGACTAAAGGAGTACGGCAAGAAACAGAATTTAAAAACTGAAATTCAGTGAAAATATCTGAGCGTCAGGAGACATCGAAAAAACACATCTGCCCCATTGCCACAGCTTTTCAATCATGTTACCAACGTTCTCCGACCATTGAATTCTATCGTTTCGAGGGCCTTAACCAGACAGTCTACATCCCCTAAACGTCTCAGATCAACAGCCTAAGACTTCGTGGAGTGAAGACACGTCTTGCTCTGGCAACCCGTAACCTTCTTCTAACTACACTCTACTTTCATGATGGATAAGTGGGTAGCAGTGAAACCCAGGACGTGCGTTTCGTCTTATTTAGGACTCGTCGGCTGAATGTACACCTGCCTGCCAACGCGTGTTGTTGCCACTGGGACTCGAACTAAGGACCGATCGTTCCAAACGCCAGAGCGTCGCACAAGAAGTGGCTATCGTAGCTCGGTGGTCTAATGGATAACGTTCTGGCGTTTGAAGCAATCGATACAAGGTTCTAGCCTCAGTGTGAACAACATGCGCTGGGAGGCAGATACATCCAGGTGACGAGTCCCAAATAAGACGAAACGCACATCCTGAGTTTCACTACTAGCCACTATCCATCACTAATATATAACTGAAAACCTAGGCACTGTTTGGGCATCTTCTCAGGAGCACATATGTCAATAGAGACCGGTCAATTCGGTTCAGTCAACAAGCAACAACAGTATACTCTACTTTAGCTAACATTGTGCTTCGAGGTAAGTAGTGGTTCAGCCTGCACAATAGGTATCCAAACCACCCCAGTCAGTGAAAGTTCACAACTTCATGGAATGACCTACCTAGTAAGCACTTTTCGCCTAACTTTGACATTACTCAAACGATGATTCCAGCATATGTGAGCAATGTTGCGAAGACACTTGTGTTGAAAAGCTGTTGTCTACTCTCATAAGTTTTACTTTTAAGGATTTTGTATCATCGCTGCATAACAGGAATGTATTGTGGTTATGAAACGTAATTACAAATGATTAATGAGATTCACTTCCGATGATAGTGTGAATTTAACCGTGATTCATTTGGTACAGGCACTTGATCTCCATCCAAGTGGATCATGAATTTGAACTGTGTTCCACTTACCGACGTTTCGCTAGCCAGACAGTACCATCTATAATTATCATTATTATTACTGGTCGCTTGGGTTCCTACAGGAACATACGGCTTCAGTAGCATGTATCCAGTGCACTCTGCTCTCTGCAAACTTTTCAATATGGCTCCACAACTGACCACAAGCTCTTATACCATCTCCTCCATGTCACCCTCACCTCGGACGCTCAACTCGTCGCTTCCCATCCCAGGTTCCACTCGACGGACTGGCCTGGTGCGTGATGTCCCCGAATGGTCTTCTCAGTGTATCCCCAATCCAATTCATCTCCACTTCCTTCTACTGCATATTTGTTGAGCGATAGGTTCTTGATTGGTTCGTCCACAGCCACAATGAGTTCCTTGTTGCTTATTCTTATAATTCTAGCCATCTGATCTTCAGTACGGAGCCAGCATAGGGGGCAGTTGTTGATGAGTGTCTGTAGTTTGTTAGAAATGCCTTTCGTAACGCGCCAAGTCTCTGAGCCATACAGAAGCACTGACTTGACTGAATTGGTGTTGAAAATCCGGATCTTGTTCACGCTTTGTGCTGAGTGCTGAAGATATCCACATTGGTTACAGGCTAATAAACGCCAGTCTTGCTATTCCGATCCTGGCTCGCTTTGACATCCTCGTCTGTGCCTGTGCCGCCTGTAGTTGAAACAGTGCTGCCTTGTCTAGGTAGGTGAAAGAAACTACTTCCTTTAGGTTTCTCCCGTTGATAGTTATTGGAGCCTGTTGTTGTTGATGCTGTTGTTGGTTGGGTATCTTCATCACCTGTGTCTTGTCTACGTTCACGTGATTGAAGTTCCGTCTTCCTTCGCTGCCTCGCCTCTTCTGTCAACTTGTTAGTTTTCGCCTGTAGATCTTCGAGTTTGTGCAACATCAGACATAAATGCTCATCGGCGAAAGCCAAATCTTGCGGGATCTTTTTGCCAGTCCAGCGTATCCCACTCTTCTCGCTCCTCAGTGTTTGTTGCATGATCCAGTCCAGTTCACCACAATCAGGAAGTTTATTATTGATAGTAGGCAGCTTTGTTTTACTCCTGTCTTCACTTCAAAAGCATCATTGAGCTTCCCATTGTGAATTACTTGGCATGTGGCGTCTTCATATAGTTGTTGAATGAGATTGATAAAGGTTTTTTGACACTAAAACCGTAGTGTTGGAGCAGTTGCTTGTCAAATTACTTGTCGATTGACGCTGTCGAAGGCTTTTTTAAATTCGATGAAGTTGAGGTAGAGAGTTGACTGCCATTTACTCTAACAAAATAGGCGTAGCTTATCGCTTAATTCGCAAATATGAATATGATTGTTGTGTTGTATTTCAATTCGATATTTATATTGTAAATATTTTCAATTCCATTTAATTAGGGCTCAGCACTTGGCATATGTCCAAAAGATAAACTCTATCGTGGTTATATAGAATTAGAGATTCAACTTAGAGAATTTGATAGATGTCGTAAACTATATGAAAAATTTCTTGAATTTTCTCCTGAAAATTGTACAACTTGGATGAGGGTATGTTATTTTTTATTATTCTATTCTATGCTTTTAAGTTTTTTTCAAATAAATATAAATGTTATAAGGTGGATGAAGAGAGGTTGTTGAAAATGTTAATGAATAAAATTCTCTAGATGAACTGACTGCGATATCAACATATGATCAGGCATTACTGCATAACGGTCCGAGTTGCCTGCCACACCTCACATCAGTACATCAAGAGACAAAGGCAGTGTGACGCAAGGTGAAGATAAGAGAATTCAGTCAAAAGAAATGCAAAGTACGAAAAGAGAGAAAGGAAGAATGAGAAAGTGGTGAGATTCAGTATAGCGTCGTTAAGATGACTATAATGTATGTGTACATCTCCGCCACTGACATCAGTTCTGAGCCATATCGTCTAAAGTTTCCAATTAGTGGTTTTTGTTGGTGCGTGGACCCCAACTGGCTACTCTCCATTGCTCTACATGGCTGAAACGAGAACAGCCAGGGACTTTATGCATTGATGCCATGTTTTAGTCTGACCACTTCGAAGCCTATGCCTGCTTCAGCCAACATTGTGCAACGAGGTAGACGGTGGCTAGATATACGTAGCACATGTCTCAGTCAGCCATCGCAGTCGATGAAGTTTCACGACCTTATCAACTGAGTTTCCTTTCTCCCCCCCCCTCCTCTAAAACTCTACACCTGACTTCTGCGTTACTTACGCGGTGGCAGCATGACAAACAGCCTATGCTAAGAAGGCAAGTGAAGTTGACAATGCACTCAACTGCTACACTCTCTCCATTGTTAAACGGGACACCGCTGAACACCAGTCCTAGAGCTACAATTTGCAATTGGGTGGCAAGAAACGCATCCCAAGCATTGTGAAATGTACCACTTAAGGTATCCAGAAGACTCCGTATCTTGTCAGCGTCTATTTAATGTGCGTGCTCTAAATCTACCAAGGATTCTTTAGTGATTAAATCAATCCCTATGATGTCACATAAAGAGAGGTAACCTATACAGGAACGTTTGTGATGAAACTGTACAGGAATGGAGAGAGTAAGCATACCTGACGGACACCACTTAATGTATACAGCTCACCTGACAACCTACCATGCGCTCTAACACACTTATGGGTGTTCCTGTAAAAAGACTTTGACAGGGTGATGTAGTTATTCGCTAATCCTTAAAAACAGATCACTAGCAACGAATATGGGAACCATTTTACTCTAATAATGTATCACTCTCATAGTGATGAGTTTTAGTCACATTAAGTACCTCTCAATTTTACGATATTAAAGGATGAAGTTTATAAAACAAAAGAATAGTTACTCTGTTTTACATGGGATCGTAGATATGCACTACTAGACAGACAGACAGACAGAATCAACGTAGAACCTCGCACACAGTTGCATCGGTTCAACTTGCCACACTTCACAATAGTATACAAAGAACAGATGGATGGAAAACGAGCGAAATCAAGGTAGATAAGGCTATGTAAAAGAATAAACAATTTGAAGACAAATGGTGAGTGGAAATATTTCAGCTTTAGAAAAGGTCAAGGCCATTGTAGTCAATTGCCAGCCATGTCACCAAGAGTTTTATCGTCTCAGGCAGTCTACATCTCCCCTCCCAAACGATTCACACCAACAGTCAGGGACTTCATCCAACATAACCCAACTTCACCTAGTAGCATAATACATCTACGTAGGTGGTGGTTTAGCATGCACAATACTATTTCAGTCGATTATGGTTCAAAAACTTCATCAATCGACTTGTACTGCTGGGGAGTTTTAAAAAACAGGATAGAACAGCCACTTTCTGATTCTTTTTCATGTGACTTTGTTACTTTATATGATACACTTCTGGTTACCAAAGATTGCGTTCCAAATAAAGTAAATAACTCATTGTCCCAATAAACAGAATGGTTAACATGTTGTAATAAGCAGGTTTCGGCAATATAAGACAGCATATGAATTGTTTATTCCCATTACTTTTGATGATAATGGTTAGCGCGTTAAATCATCAGATCTTCATTTTGCTTAACTGTGCAAACTTTTCAACCCGGCTCCACGACTGACCACAAGCTCTCACTTCTTCCCCACACCATCCCTTCCATGTCACCTCGGACGCCCAACTCGTCGCTTCCCATCTGGGTTCCACTCGACAGACTGGCCTGGCCTGGTGCGTGACGTTCCCGAATGGTCTTCCCAGTGTGTGCCCAGTCCATCTCCACTCCCTTCTACTGCATATTTGTTGAGCGATAGGTTGTTGGTTGAATCGCTGCCAACCACAGTTCCTTGTTGCTTATTGTTTCTGGACATCTGATCTTCAGTAACGAGCCAGTGTAGGGGGCAGTTGTTGATGAATGTCTGTAGTTTGTTGGAAATCGCTTTCGTAACGTGTCAAGTCTCTGAGCCATACAGAAGCACTGACTTGACTGAATTGGTGTTGAAAATTTGAGTCTTGTTGTTTATGCTCAGTGAAGATCTCCACACTGGTTACGGGCTAATGGACGCCTGTCTCGCTGTTTTTCCGATCCTGGCTCGCTTTGACGTCCTCGTCTGTGCCTGTGCCGCCTTTAGTTGTAACGATGCTGCCCTGCCTAGATAGGTGAAAGAGGCTACTCCCGTTGATAGTTATTGGAGCCTGTTGTTGTTGATGCTGTTGTTGGTTGGGTATCTTCATCACCTGTGTCTTCTCTACGTTCACGTGATGGAAGTTCCGTCTTCTTTCGTTGCCTCGCCTCTTCTGTCAACTTGTTACTTTTTGCCTGCAAATCTTCAAGTTTATGTGACAGTTATTAATTCAAGTAAATTGCTTTATTATACATTGTATATATCTCTATTTCATGGCTACTCAACTAACTGTCATCACAAAACTATTGAATAATATATTTCATCTTTTCATTTGCATTATAAACAAGTATGCTGAATTGGAAAGTCTTCTTGGTGAAATAGATCGTGCACGAGGTATCTATGAGTTGGCAATCAACAGACCTTTATTAGATATGCCAGAATTATTATGGAAAGCTTATATCGATTTTGAAATTGAACAATATGATTGGGAACGTGCTCGTTCACTATATCGAAGATTACTAAATCGAACAAAACATGTTAAAGTGAGCATGATTTTTATTCTGCCTTATTTATTTATTATATAATGTCTGTATGTTTTGGTGAGAAGAACTATTACCTGGACAATATTCATGTTAAGCAATTGGATATTATACTACTTCGATCAAAGAAATTGTGAATTCCTACACTTGGATTTTATCGTTTAATAAGTTAGTCGGCTGACTGCCTACGTCAACACTAGTCCGCATCGCCCCATATGGCTCAAACTACCAGTCAAACACTTCATACACTGGTGTCATGTTTTAGTTTGGCCGCCTCAAGCCTTTTCCTAGCCTGAATCTACTGCGGTCAACATTGTGTGATGAGGTATATGGCAAATAGACATACGTAACACATGTCACAGCCAGCCGTCTCAGTCGATGAAGGATCAACACTTAACTTCTGCGATAGTGACGTGGTGACATCACGGAATACGGCCTATACTACGGAGGCAACCGTGGTCAAACATTTGAAGCCAGCCTTCTCATGTCTTCCACCTTGAATGGCCATGTCTCACAGCCATCGAGTGGAAGAGAGCGGACTGCTGTGCAAGTGGAGTACATGCGACCCTTAATAGACAATGGATATCACGGCGGCGCCACAGATGGGATAAGTTGGTGAAAGCCAATCGAGCCTTTTGTGTTCGTGCAGAGATATCATCAGCAACTGACCAACGCACCAGGGCTGATCCCACTTGCCAGGTAAGTGAAGTGGTGAACACACTCAATCACTACACTCTCTATTGTTAGCCGTGGCACAGTTGAAGACTATTCTTGGAACAAAGATTTGCATTTGGGTGATGAGAAACGCATCCTAAACATTCTCAAACTGTTCAGGAGACTGCATCTTTTCAGCGTCTTCACCTAACGGGACAGTGTCATGCTGCGTATTCTAGGTCTGACGAAAATTCTCCTGCGATTATTTCAGGTGACGAGAGGGAGACCATAAGAATATCTATGATAAAATTGAATAGGAATGAAGAGAGTGAGCACCCTTGACGGACACCAGTCGATGAGCACAGCTCCCTGGACATCTCAGGGAAGTATCAGTGATTGGCTAAAAATGATATAAACAAGTAAGACTTAGTTATCGAGTTTAGCTGCATTTACTTTCAGAAACCAAGATATCAAGACTCTAGCACACGATGTGCGTGATGTAACCAGCAGTGTCAAGATTGAAGGCAAAGAAAAAAGTAATTTTTGGTTGAAGCAGCTGCCAGATTACTTCTCGGTCGACACTACAGAAGGATTCTTCAAAGTCGATGAAGTTGACGTAGCGAGTTGACTGCCATTCTATGATGATGCGTAGCATTGCAATTTGATCCGCAAATGACTACTATCTTTAAACTGTATACTTTTGATGCTGTACACTACTATTCCACTCAGCTAGAATTAGAGTAGGTTAGGTGACAATGCTACTTGAATTACAACTGGTAGTGTCAGTCATGGTGAAAACCATGTTTCCCTTCTGTCTCTTTATTTATATATATAGCCTGATAGCCCATGGCAACAAGAATTTTTTTTGTAAAATCACAACGTATTCTAAAATATGTTAATTGGGTCATCAAGGGATCATATAATTAGTGAGACGACTTCATAGACGATTTTATTATTGATGTGAAGCAACAGACAAGTCAACACAGAACATGACACGAATTTTCATCAGATAAAGTTACCTCACTTAAAATCAACACCGATACAAAGTTGATAGAAAACGAATAACAAATAAATTGTGAAAGGTGAAACATTTTCTCGACACTTAACTAGATTCAAACAAACAAATTGGAATAAGTTCACTTATATGAGAAATCGTCAAGTCAGTGCTGTTATATGGTTCAGAAACTTGGCACGTCACGAAAAGCATTTTCAACAAACTACATATATTCATCAACAACTGCTCCCTATGCTGGCTCGTTACTGAAGATCAGATGGCCAGAATTATAAGAATAAGCAACAAGGAACTCTAACTGGCTGGCTGGCAACGAACCAACCAACAACCTATCACCTAACAAATATACAGTAGAAGGAAGTGGATATGGATTAGGTATACACTGAGAAGGCCGTTTAGGGACATCATATGCCCGAATGGAAAGCGATGAGTTGGGTGTCCTAGGCGAGGATGACATCGAGGAGATCATATGAGGAAGAAATGAAAGCTTGTGATTAGTCGTGGTGCCAGGTTGAAAAGACCGCAGAGATGAGAGTGGAAGTGTGCAACTGAAGCCTTATGTTCCACTAGGAACCCAAGGGAATAATAATAATAATAATAAAGATTATTATGCGTTAGTATTACAGTTTATTACATATGTATCAACTTTTTATACAAGCACAAATTCAATATTTTCAATTTTTTTTTGTTTTTGTTCACAGGTATGGATAAGTTTAGCTAATTTTGAATTATGCGCACTGAATAAATTGACTACTGCTGATTTAGATGATGAAGATTTAGAACACTTAAAAAATATTCAATTAGATAAAGAAACATTAATACAAGAACATAATGAAAATGAAGTTAACAAAGCAATAGAACGTTCACGTAAAGTATATCAAGAGGCAAATAAAGCTTTAAAGTATATAGATGATAAGGAACAACGTGTTCGTCTCCTTGAAACCTGGAAAGAATTTGAGGTATGCCTAATATATTTAAAGTTTGATTTAAAAAAACAAAACATTTTAGTGTTTTTTTAAAGGAAGTATTCATCATGGACTGACATCATTTGGAGAATCATTGGACAGCTGTTTCGTCCTAGTATGAGACTCGTCAGCAGTATGCACCTACGTCCTGGCTAGGGATCAAACTTATGACCTTCCAGGTTTCACGGTGAATATATTGGAATTCAATGTTCTACAGTTTCTTACTTCTGTCTATTCGCTATATGGTGCTACTATCATCCAAAATTTCCACTTGATAGTCACACTGTATAGCCAATTGACAGAATTAGGAAACTATGGACTCTAACCTAATGGGTAGATGGTTAACGCGTTCGCCGTGAAACCTGAAGGTATTGAGCTTGATCCTTGGTGGAATCGTAGGTTCATACGACTGGGGACGGTAGAACAGGTGTCCGTTCAATGCTCCCAGGTTCTCAGTGTTTCTCCAAAAATGTCAGTCTGTGATGAATACTCTAGCTTGAAAATAAAAAAAATCCCCATAAACCTTAAAAAACGTTTCAATGTGTACATATTCATAATTTCTAAGCTCCAGTTGATACACAACTAGTGACACGACTAGTAATCATTTCTAGTTGATTTCGATCGTAGATTATCAGAAGTAAACGGTGAAGACCTTGAGCTAAAAGCGTCGAAATAAGATTCAGTAACGGGACATAAGAACTATAATTGTTAGGTTCCCATCAGTCGCACATAGATATTAAACAGATATATATATATATATATATATATATATATATATATATATATATATATATATATATATAATTTTCGACCCGGTAGATAGAGCTGCTAACTGACCACATATACTGGTGGAACGCTTGTTACCTCAAGGTCCTACCATGCCAGGTCTGTTGAACAAAAAGCAGTTACCTCTGTGGTGTAAATTGCTACACTATGATGGGTTTGTGAGTGCGAATTCGTATTGCTGCTGCTAGCTGGATGGGGTGTGGCAGCAGTAAGGTATTTCCCTTCGATGATCAGCATTATTACGCTGGTCTTACGGTGCCGGTGGTATGGGTCTTTTCCATCCAGAGTAGGATAACCAAATCTTATAACAACAATCCGTAAAAGGCTATTGTGTGACAGACTTCAGTCAGATGTTTCATGGGCTCTGAGGTCATACAAATCTTATTCTCTTTCAGTTAGCTTAAGAAGAAATAGTCTTCCACGATGTGGGCAACAGCCCGCACACTTCTAGGAGTTCACTCGTCATTCTTGAAAACTCACTGGAAACATACGCTTAAACCATTCTATTGATGTTAACAATGAAGAAGATAAGTTGTCAGCATCACAATTACTTAACAAAATTTTGCTACTTGGTGTTAGTTCCATTCGAACATATCTAACAAAACCCTAGATTTAAGTTTTATCACCATGTTCAATACAAATTGAGTAATCATAGACAATTAGCAACAACATAGTACATGAGTTTATTGATAATGATATTTCAAATTTCATCCTGTTGTATGAACAGTCTTGAACTGTCATTCTTGACCAAATAGCATGTGTTAAACAGTAATAATTCGTATGCTTATCACCATCCCTGGCGTCAAGTACATCATAATATGATACTAACTTCTTTAATTATCCAAAAATTGTAGAATATACAACTCAACTCATCACATGCCTATATACTATGTCATGAATCACACTTACTGTGTTGACAATCATGATATTATTCGGTTTTCTAGGTCAAAATAGATGTAGCAGGGTTCGAACCTAAGACTTGATATTTGAAAGTCAAATGAATAAGTCAACACTGAGCCATATCACAATAGAATTTCACAATCTATTTGTGATAATGATATAAAGCAGATAAAAGAAACCTACATGGACAGGGCAATATCTTAATTTCCATAGTTATTGTCCAGTCCAATATAAACGTGGTTTAGTCAGATGCTTATTCAACAGGATAAACCGTATCTGCACCGATGACACCAGGGAAGAAGAAACCAACTTACTGACGACAACTCTGATACAGAATGGATACCCGTTGAGATTTATCAACAGGTGCAAAAGTTATGTACCATTGAAAAGTACACAGTGTTCCGTTGCTAAGAGAAATGTCTACATCTCATTACCATTTAGAGGTGATTCACATAGCTTTGTGGTGAGGAAAAGACTTAGATCGGCCATCTGTAAGACGTATTATGCAGCTAAAGTCATCATTGTAGAGAAGACCAAGTCCACGATACAGCACAAACCGAAACAACATATAAACGATTACATCACATCCCACTGTGTTTATCAATTCACACATATATAGGGAGGAGTAATCGTGATATGCAGTTAAGGAAGGTTGAACATGTACCTAAGTGGCTACAAAAACAAATGACCTCAACAGATCCGATAAGTCCAGGTGATAAACATCCACCTTCGTCTATCGCTAAACATATACTAGACACTAACCATAGGATAGACATGAAAACAGCCTTTAAAGTTCTACATAAAAGTGGTCAGAGCCGAGTGCTTAAATTTATTGAAGCTCTTGCCATCCGTAAATTTAACCCCCCCCCCCCTTTATGTATACAAAAACAATTTGTACTCACGTTGAACCTACCTTGGTAGTAATGATTTTAATTTTCATACCAAGAATAAGGTTTTTCTTTTCCTTTTCTATCCCTTCCTATTCCTATGTTTCCCATTAACTTCATTGACCTTTTTCGTAAATTTTCATATGAATAGTTCGACAAGTCCATGTATGATCATCAGATTGTTCGAAATGTATAGCGCTAATACATCACGACATGTTTCAAATAATCTTCGTCTTCACATTATGCTGTTTAAATTTATCAAAGGGACCAGTTGCTTTAAACATTTCACGGAGTCAATCAGGATAAGCTATATTTTATCTTTGAACTAGAATATTCTTGAGAAAACTGTATGAATAAGATCATCTTTGTACTGATAGATAAGACTTTGTTTCCTCCTGATATTTCCATAGTTTAAAGACCAATCGTTATCAATACTCAGTTCATTCATTTGTCTATTGTATTCAGCATCATATTATACATGGTAACTTCATAGACCTTATACTTCTGCTTATATATATATATTTCAAGTTGTTATTCATCGAAGACTGACATCAGTTGGAGGAACAAAGGAGACTTGGGAGCACTGGACAGCTATTTTGTCCTAGTATGGGACTCCTCAGCAGTGCGCACCCACGACCCCACCAGCAGGGATCGAACCCGCGACCTTCAGGTTCCGCGACCAGCGCGTTACCATTGAGCCACTGGGTCAGAATCCAATGCTCCATATTTCCAACTTCTGTTAGCTCACGATATATATACATATATATATACTTTTTCTTTATTAATAGTATGAATATGGAGATGAGCAAACACAACGTGATGTTGATAAGTTACAACCACAAAAAGTTGTTCGTAGCCGTCGACTTGGTGATGAACGTAGTGGTTGGGAAGAATATATTGAATATACATTCCCTGATACAGATGCAGAGAAACCAAATCAAAAATTATTAACAATGGCTGCTAGATGGGCAGAACAAATGGAAAGGAAAAAAGCTGCTGCTGCTGCAGAAGATAATAATGATGAAAAAGATTCTAGTGAAGAATCTGAAGATGACGATGACAACGACGACGATGATGACGAGGAGAAGAATGAAGATGATCAATTACAAGGTGATGAAGATGATAATCGTATTCCTGAAAAACAACCTACCTGGTTTGAACGAAAAAATATGGAAGAGATTGAAATCGATGAAGACAGTGATTAGAATACGCTGATAGTTTATATCTTTGTATATTTTCTCTTGTACAGTATATATGTTTATTCAATAAGATGTAAAAAAGAATAATATTAATGAATACACTTATTATTCATAATGTATGCGCCTTAATATAAATCTATTTCATTCGGTGTCAACCATTCCACAGTAACCGAACAGTGTGATCCATTGAAAAAATACCAGTTCCCATGTGGTGTTCCTTTACGTGTTATAGCCTGAAAGATAATATTGTGAAAATATTTTGAATATAAGGGTTAAAATATTTAAAAAAAAAAAAGTTAAACATCTAGTGTATACTTGTACAAACTATATGCGGACCGAATTGCAACACTTCGCTTCATCATAGAACAGAGCATAGAATGGCAGTCAACTCTCCACCTCAACTTCATTGACTTTAAAAAGACCTTCGACAGCGTCAATCGACAAGTAATTTGACAAGCAACTGCTCCAACACTACGGTTTTAGTGTCAAAAAACCTTTATCAATCTCATTCAACAGCTATATAAAGACGCCACATGCCAAGTAATTCACAATGGGAAGCTCAATGATGCTTTTGAAGTGAAGACAGGAGTAAAACAAGGCTGCCTACTATCACCCATGATCTTCCTGATTGTGGTGAACTGGACTGGATCATGCAACAAACACTGAGGAGCGAGAAAAGGGGGATACGCTGGACCAGGGAAAAAAAGCCTAGATTTGAATTTCGCCGATGAGCATTTATGTCTGATGTTGCAAAAACTGGGAGATCTACAGGCGAAAACTAACCAGATGACAGAAGGGGCGAGGCAGCGAAGGAAGACGGAACTTCCATCACGTGAACGTAGACAAGACACAGGTGATGATGATACCCAACCAACAACAGCATCAACAACAACAGGCTCCAATAACTATCAACGGGAGAAACCTAAATGAAGTAGCCTCTTTCACCTACCTAGACAAGGCAGCACTGTTACAACTACAGGCGGCACAGGCACAGACGAGGATGTCAAAGCGAGCCAGGATCGGAATAGCAAGACTGGCGTTTATTAGCCTGTAACCAATGTGGATATCTTCAGCACTCAGCACAAAGCGTGAACAAGATCCGGATTTTCAACACCAATTCAGTCAAGTCAGTGCTTCTGTATGGCTCAGAGACTTGGCGCGTTAGGAAAGCGATTTCCAACAAACTACAGACACTCATCAACAACTTCCCCCTATGCTGGCTCGTTACTGAAGATCAGATGGCCAGAATTATAAGAATAAGCAACAAGGAACTCATTGTCGCTGTGGACGAACCAATCAAGAACTTATCGCTCAACAAATATGCAGTAGAAGGAAGTGGATATGGATTGGGCATACACTGAGAAGGGTGACTGAGACATCATGCGCTAGGCCAGTCCCTCGAGTGGGACCCAGATGGGAAGCGACGAGTTGAGCGTCCGAGGTGAGGGTGACATGGAGGAGATGGTGTGAGGAACAAGTGAGAGCTTGTGGTCAGTCGTGGAGCCAGGTTGAAAAGTTTGCAGAGAATGGAGTGTGCACTGGATACATGCTACTGAAGCCCTATGTTCCATTAGGAATCCAAGGGACAAATAATATAATAATCTAGTATATATATATTTTTCTATTATATCATACTGTTGTTGATTGGATCGAAATGATCGGTCTCTATCGGCATATGGAAATCTTGTGCGGATGCGTCGATATTACCTGTGCTCTTATGATGGTAACGATGGATAGTAGCTAGCAGTGGAATCATGGATGCACATTTCGTCCTATTTAGGACTCTTCAGCTGGATGACCCTGCTTCCTAGTGAGTGATGGTGTACATCCAGCTGACAAGTCTCAGATAGGACGAAATGCGCATCTTGGTTTCGACTGCTAGCCACTATCCATCATTACTATGTTAAACATCTATATGACTGATTTTTTCAATGTGACTAAAATTTGAACAGTGTGCCTAAAAATCCTAATAATAGACAAATTAATATTCTTTATACTAACATTAGCTTAACTGGTAGCACGTCAACTTATATATTGAATAGTGGTAGAGAAATGTCACGACTATTCACTAAAGACCAATCGTACAACTAATCAACAGTGTCCTTCGTGAAGTGCTATTTTGCAGGTTATATACTTTCGATCATTGATACATTTCATTAATGTAAGTGTAAAACTCGGGCACTGTGGTACAGTTTAATTCCGCATATTAGATTTGTTTATTTGATTTATAACACACAGTGATCTAGTATTATTTACTTGATGACATTTCGAGCATAAATGATCATTGCTCATAATCATCACATCAATGTAATCACACCACGTCCGATATCTCGTTTTTATAGTTACGTCACTTTATATGACTTGTTTTTTATTGGTAGCAAACTTTTCTATATCCCTAGTATGGACATGTTGCATCATTCCTATTACATGTGTTGGGTTGGTGTGTTTTGATTCGATGAACAAAGATTCAGTAATCTATCTCTTCCTCTCTCTCCACCTAATTATATTGGACTTAAGTACAGTGGGTTTATCTCACCCACTCCATTGTGCGGTTGTGTGTTAATACATGCATTACAATAGACGAGTCTACTTCTAGATTATTGATCGAATTGGGGTTTATCGTTCTACATTCAGCTAAACTCCTATGTTCAGCTATTCTAACTGACTCCGACCGACTAGTTTAACCTCACAGTCATTACATGGAATTTGATAGATTAGATTATTTTGCCTACTTGGTTCTATCAGATCCTTAAGCCAGTCGACAAAGTTTATCTCTGAGTGAGTTTGTAGGTTTAAATGTCACCCTAATCCCAGCTGTGTTGAGGATCTACGTAAAGTTTCTGAGGTATCCTCCTTATAGAGTAATACAATGGAGGCTGTGAACTTCTTTCTACTTGTGTTGTCGTTACTAGTCACACTCGTGTGACTGTAATTTTTTTCTTTTTTTGTGTGTTCGTTAGAATTTCTTAATAAACTGGGAAGGATAATTATTAACTATTAGCGCTTCGTTAACGTGTTTCATTTCCTTGTTTAGGTTCTTGCACTGACTAGTCAGTTTTCTAGCTGTGTCATTTAGACATTTGACTAATCCTGCCTTAACTGACATTGGATGAGATGACTTGAAGTCTAGATCACCTGCCAGACTGTGTTGGATTCGTTTAGAAGATGGTATTATTAACACCAGAATCTATCCGTTTTATTCTGTAATCCAACATAGACAATTCTCCTTGTTGATTTTCTACCTCCTCGTGAGTGAATTGCACTGCGCCTACTACTGAGTTTATATGTCTGAGGAAATTGTCGATATGTTTCAGACACATAGCCATCATATTTCTGGTGTAGGACTAAACGTTTGTATAGCCATATTTTCCTAACCATCCGTGAATATATCTGCTACTATTGGGGGTATTGGTGATCCCATTGCTACTGCTTCCCTTTGTCTGTATATTTTGTCCTGAAACCTGAAGATTATGGAGGTCAGACACAATTGTATGCCTAATATGATCTCATCAACCGATATCTCAGTTCTGTGGATAAGTTCTGAGTCAATATTTAGTTGACTTCTGACTGCCTCCAGTGCCATATTGATTGGTATTTTAGTATACAGATTAGTTACATTGAACTAACCATTTTTTTCATCCTCTTCTATGTGTAGGTCATTAAGCTTAAGTTTTAACTCGTAAGAGTTTAGTAGTCTTGAATTTGAACGGTTTCTAATAGGGCATAATATTGAAGCTAAGTACTTTGCTAGTTCATATGTTAGGGTATTTCTGAAGTCAACTAATGGGTCTAATGGGATAACCTGGTTTATGAACCTTAATAATAAGGTTCTTTTACAAGGAATTGAAAGACGTTAACGAAGCGCTAATAGTTAATAATAAATATCCTCTATAGTTTATCAAGAAATTCGCAGGGACACAGAAAAATAACAGTAACACGAGTACGAATAATAACGACAACACAAGTAGAAAGGAGTTCATAGCCGAACATGGTGTTACCCCATAAGAACATCAAAAGCCTTACGTAGGATTCTCAGCAAAGCTGGAATTACAGTGTTATTTAAACCTGTCAACTTAGAGATAAGCTTTATCGGCTGGCTTAAAGATTCGATAGAACCAACTAGGCAAAATAATCAAATCTCATGTAATGACTATGAGATTAAGTACATCGGTCAAACTAGTCGGTCAGGGTCACTTAGAATAGCCGAACATAGGAATTTGTCTAAATATAGAATAACAGACCCCAATTCGACCAATAATCTAGAAGGAGACTCAGCTGTTGCAATGCATGCATTAACACACAACTACACAATGGAGTAAGTGAGATAAAGCCACTGTACTTAACTCCAATATAATTAGGTGGAGAGAGAGAGGGACAGATGGATTACTGAATCTTTGTTTATCGAATCAACACGTAAAACATGTGATAGGAATGACGCCATGTGTATATCAGAGATGTGGAAAAGTTTGTTGCCAACTGAAATGAAGAATACGAAGTGATGTAACTATAAAAATCAAATGTTGAAATTAGTGTGTGATTACATTGAGGTATGATTATGAGCAGTGATCATTTATGCTCGAAACTTCGTCAACAAGTAACTAGTAGTAGATCACTATATGATGGAGAATATTTGTAGCTCAGGTGGATGGTCCTGGTTGTATTGTGTTCTCTGAGCTGGGTTGTTTAATCGTTATATGTTACAAATTAAAGAAACTGACCTAATATGGAATTGATACACTGCATATGATGAAAATCATGTAGTTATAAATCTGTTCAGATCTGAGTACGATGCTGTAACACATGTGTAAGGACTTATTTATATGAGAACCAATGCTTCAAAATCCATACACCTACTTTGTTTTCACACTAATGTAATAGGTACCTAAACTTCAGTAGGTGGAACAGTATTCGAACCCTGTGACTTATTAATTGAAACTTATCTCCCAAAACCAATGACTTACAACTCCACAACCAGTGACTTAAAGGTTGGTAGACTAAAGATATAACAATTAAAACTGTTCATTCACCACTGATTAATAAAACAGTAAACATTACAAGGTGTAGGTACATCAGAAAGGTGGTTAAACCATGAATTAATCGTAAGTTATTAAGTTTTTTTCAGAAAAGTAAACCTGATTGTTACAATCTGATTTTATAATGAAAATCGAAAGACTAGGCAATAAAGTTTACATTAACTACTTTGCTTATGGACATGTCATGTTAGACAAATTGGAAGGGATTAAGAGGCTAAAATGATGAAACCTGATGGCTGTGAACGCCTTACGAGTTCGTGGGTGTGCACTGTTAGAGAATCAATCACAAATCAAGACAAATAAACTGTCTAGCACTACTAGATTCCCAATAGTCCTCTACAGTTGACGTCAATCCGTGATGAAAACGAACTTAAAATCACTTAATTCCCTATTTGTATTCTATATCTGTTCAGTTCTTCTGGTTCATTGTAATACCTCATTTGTCCTAGTGTACAACGTTTTGGTCGGTGGTTTAATGCACCAAGCTGTACATTACTTTCATCAGTCGATTTGGTATAGGACTTTTTGTGGTTTTCACGAACAAGTAATTGACGAAGGTAAGTTAAGTCTTGATTTTAATGGGGCTTCTCCCCCCCGCCATTATTTTACTCAAAATGAAAATAAGTAAAGACATGTGAACTTACTCTGATAACTTCTTGCGATACTACACCTCCGAGTACTGGATTAACAGCTGGAAACAGTGGACCACAGCAACATCTGAACAATATAAAATAAGAGATCAGAGCAATACACAACAAAGCCATGGTTACATGCTTGTAGTTTACTCTGTCCAATGAACGAAATTAAATTTGCCCCACATCTGATCATGGAAATGGTTTACAAATAATCGACAACCGATCGATTGGGAGTTGAAACCCAACTATGCCTATTAGACGTGAACAGCGTATAGTCGACTGCTAACTGAGATTCAGTCGAACAGAGAACTTTCCACCTTAGCGGTCAATGTTATACCTACACTTGAAAGACCATAAGAACTGGCTCTTAAATTGTCAGAAACTCGAAAAGTGGATTCACCGTAATAACCGGATGAGGTTAAGTGAATAACCGCACTTAGGTCGTGTACACATGTCTGACAAACAGAGTACACATCCATGATCCGAGTTACTAAAATTTTAGCTAGTGAAGCTTGTTGGCGGGTTCGTTGGAGCGTTCGGACATTGAAAGCTTTAATGTGTAATTTAGAGAGCGATTTCAGGAGACGAAGGGTGCAATCATATTAACTGTAACTTACAGCCGAAAGGTACAGATTTGTATGTGAATGCTTAGTCACATTATCTTACACTATGTTATACTCATTTCGGTTGACTTGAAGCAAGATGAAGAGGGTAAACGCTTTGACTGTGGGTTGACGAAGATTCCATATTGCGAACGTTAGCAGCGGAAGCAAATCAGGGACATAAGAATCCAAGAGTGATGAGTATAAGTAGACAGTTGTTAGAATTTACTGAAATGCTTGTTAACAAAACATAGGGAGGAAAAACGAATCAACGTCTCACTTTTACAAAATATATGAAGAATTATCAACAGGACAATTGCAATAACTGATCAATTACTACTAATCATTTGCTGACTATACAGAGCCAGCATGAGTGGGACGTTGGCATCAGGTCTCAAACTGTGGTCAAATTGGAGAAGGCTCTAACTGACTTGAAACAAGAAGTTGCAATAAATGTCAGGTAAATGGGAGAAATATTCTACATCTTTTGTCCCATGGTTTGTAGACACTGGGCATGATTCCTTCTGATTGGTATCTATGATAGCTTAGGTTCGTAATCAAAGAGACAAATCCTTTTGTAATGACAATCATGATCTCCTGATGCCTGGATGCAACCAGGGAAGTTTCAAATTTGACTGTGGGTGTATCAATCCCCGCTAAGTTTGAGACTAACAGCATACTTAGCAACACTTGACACCATCCATACCGACAGCCTGAAGGTGATATCTGACTATCTCTTTTGAGACAGTTCTCAAACAAGTATCTCACATTATTGGTGTTTGACCACCGTTGCCTTCGTAGTATAGGACGTATTCCGTGGTGTCACCATGTGAGTAATGCAGAAGTCAGGTGTAGAGTTTTGGGGAGAAGAGGTAAGTCAGTTGACGAGGTTGTGAACCTTCATCGACTGAGATGGTTGAGACACGTACTACGTATGCCTACGCCTGGTCACCGATTGCCTCGTCACACAATCTTGGCTCAGGTGGGTCCAGGGTGGAAAAAGGCCCGAGGTAGCCAGACTAAAACATCGCACCAATGTATGAAGTCTCTGACTGTTGGTTTAAGCCATGTAGGACGATGCAGACTAGGTGGTTGGGGTCCACGGGACCAGAGGAACCAGTGGTTGGAGACCCTAGGTGATATGGCTCAGAACCGATGTCAGTGGCGCAGATGTATATACACATTATCCTCATCTTAAGTACACTATACGAATCTCACCATTTTGTCACTCCTCTTTCCTTTCTTCTCCTACTTTATATTTCTTTTGACTGCATTCACTTATCTTCATCCTTCACCTCACTACCTTTTTACTTGATGTGCTGATATGAGGTGTGGCAACTCGGACCGTTACGCAGTAATGCCTGGTCCTATGTTGATAATGATGATGATGATTTCACATTATTGAAGGATCTTTACTCACAGACACGTGAACTTATCAGAGTTTAAAGCGCGATATCGTTTGAGGTCGTTGTGTAGAAAAGGTATGCATTTTGTCTAAATTTGTCGATGATAAATGGTTAAAGATGTTCACAAGTGTAAATATGTTTGGGATATTTTTAGCCTTCAGAATGTGTATTTGTTGATTTACAACTTGTGTGTATTGATGGCCAGTTTGACAATAAAATAACTAGGTCTTCCACCAATCTGAGGAGTCACATCAGAAGATTCAGTGATTGATGACTCGCGATATCTACGTACAGATAAAAAAGGTTTGCTTATTTTTCATCGATTCATGAAACTTATTACACCAATAAGAAGTGGGAATATGTACGTTGTGCAAAAGTTTGATCTATCCCATTTCGTAACTAAAAAAAAATGTTTGTTAATGTTGGTGGATGTGTAAAGTTTTTTGATTATAGTTAAAATGAAAGCAGTTGCTATATGATAGTCAAGAAGTTGGATGTAAGAATTTTCACATCAAACGTTGGATTCTATCTGATTGCTGGAATAGAGTGGCTTGGGTTATATAGTCGTTAGCTGGATGAGTCCCAAATAGAACGAAATGCGCATCCTGGATCCCACTGCTAGCCACGATCCATCATTAACATAATTAGATTGCTGGCAAAATATCGAGGCATCCGCACAGGAGCCCATATGCTAATACAGACCGATCAACTCAGTCCAATCAACGACGGTATCATACAAAACCCTTATACTATAGGTGAAAACCTTTGTGACGTTATACATTCATTGGTCACTGGAGGAGAGCAACTAATTTCATGTTGTCCGGTCCTTAGTGCTAACTAAATTCTATCGACTAGTATAGCTACCAAGCTATGAGGCTCAACGTCAGCAGTGCAATTTGATAGATGTTACTTGGAGGCAATCGAAAAAGACCTTAAATTGAGGCAGCAGTTTAGATGTACTCATTCCTTCAACTTTCTTCAAGTACTTAACATGCTACACTTTGTTTATTTTGTTCACTTCACTTTATGAAATGCAGAGACTTCTATGAACACACAATAACCCTAGGTCTATTTACCAAGCTGAATTTTTTTTTGTGTATAAATAATAAACAGGGAAAGAATTCACTGTAGAAGTATGCTTTGATGGTTATTAACGTCATCGTTTGAACAATAACTGAATACGACAAAGGCAATGGATAGTTATGGAAGAATGGTTCATAATAACGCGCACATAAATTAAGCATAAAATCTACATAATCTATCAGTGTTTGTGATGACTGTCAACACATACACCTCCACTTCATTTAACGGATATATCACACTGTACTACAGTCATCATCATTAACATGGAACCAGGCATTACTGCGTAACGGTCCAAGTTGCCACACCTCATCTCATATCAGTACATCAAGTAAAAAAGCAGTGAAGAATGAGAAAGTGGTGAGATTCGGTATAGCTTCATTAAGATGACGATAATGTGTGTATACATCTGCACCACTGACATCGATTCTGAGCCATGCCATCACCTACAGTCAGTCTCCAACCACTGGTTCCTCTTGTCCCGTGAACCCCAACCACCTAGTCTGCATCACCCCATATGGCTGAAACCAACAATCAAACACTTCATATATTGGTGGCATGTTTTAGTCTGACCACCTCGAGCCTTTTTCCAGCCTGGAACTACTTCGGTCAACATTGTGTGACGAGGCAGTCGGCGACTAGGCATACGTAACACATGTCACAGCCAGCCATCTCAGTCGATGAAGGTTCACAAACTCAACCGACTTACCTCTTCTTCCTAAAACTCTACACCTGACTTCTGAGTTACTCATGTGGTTCGGTGACACCAAGGAATATTGCCTATACTACGAAGGCGACGGTGGTCAAACACCTGAAGCCAGCCTTCTCATGCCTTCCACCTTGAATCGCCATGTTTCACAGCCATAGAGTAGAAGAGAGCAGAGTGTTGTGCAGGTGCAGTACACGTGACCTTTAATAGACAATCGGATATCACGGCGATGCCACAGATGGCATGGTTGACACACTCAACCACTGCACTCTCTATTGTTAGCTGAGGCACCGTTGAAGACCAATCCTGGAACAACAATTTGCATGTGGTGGTGGTGAGAAACGCATCGCAAACATTTTCAAATTGCCACACAAATTGTTCAGAAGGCTCTCAGCGTCTTCACCTAACAGGACTATGTCATCTGCATATTCTAGGTCTAACGAAAATTCTCCACCAATTAGGTCAACATCCGTGTAGTCAGTCAGGTGACGAGAGAGAGACCTCCATAAGAATATCTATGATAAAATTGAATAAGAATGGAGAGAGTGGGAAGGCTTCACGGACACCACTGGAGGATAACAGCTTCCCGGACATCTCACCATAGGCTCTAACATGCCCACAAGTGTTCGAGTAAAGGGCCTTCAATAAGGTGACGAACTTACTCGGGACACCTTTGAGTGAGGGGCATTGCCGTAAGACTTGTTGGTCAACGGAGTCGAATGCCGCCGTTCTCAGGTCGAGAAATACAGCTATTGTCGGGCGTCGCTAAGCGTGTCTGTGTTCCAGAGCCTGGTAGTGTGAATATTTGGTCGATACGTACTACAGTCAGTATGATGATATAATTTCAGATAGTAACTGAAGTCTAAACATCAGGTTTCTAACGGTTAGTACAAGCTTTAAAAAAGGTCAAGAGGTGAATGCATTTGCGTCACTGTGACAGATTTTAAGTCATGTCACCAAGAGTCCTAAACCACTAGTTACTTTCGTCTAGAGGACCTTGATCGGGCAATCTATATTTCCGCACACGTCTCTGAGCTACAGTTAGGGAGTTCATCGACTGGTGTCACGTATCCGTCTGACTATCCTGAACCTTCTTCAAACCTAATCCAACTTACCTAAGCCTAGCATGGCATGTCGAGGTAGGCGGTGGCTCAACATGTGCAATACATTTCTAAAGCACCCTAGTCAACTAAAGTTCACAACTTCATCAATCGACTTGTCTGGTACTTTTCGCCTGACCTCAACATTCCTTACACGGTGATTCCACCAAAACGCAAGCAATGTTACGAAGATACCTGTGATCAAAACCCTGTAATTGCTTCGTATCTTCTAGTTTTAATGGCGACGCATCACAGCCGTATAACAGAACATAATGAACTGCAGTGCAGTATACTCATCCCTTAATAGGTAGTTGAATATCTCGCCATTCGGCGTCACAGATGATGGAAGTTGACAAATGTCTAACGGGTGGAGACTTCACCAGCAGTCAGTTTGAGCTGATGCAACTCCCGTAAGTATGTGAAATGGTCGACACATTCCACCACTTCACTTCTTATCATTAAACTGGGATCATTCGCACCATTATCTTATGGTTAACAGGTGTGAAACCAATTCAACATTCGAGGACTACATTCAACCCGATAAATAATTCACACACGGTAAAGTATTACGATTAAGATGAAGATAGTGTGTGGATGCATCTGTAACAATGAAATGGATTCTAAACTACATCATTTTAACTCTTCAACCATCGATTTCGGTTATCACACAGATCGTAACGTGGAAGATCAGTTCATTGACTGATATCATGTCTTACGTTTGGCTACCTAGCCTGAACCTATTTCAGTTAATGTTGTACGATGACAAGGTTTGTGTAACAAATGTCTTAACCATATGAGTGTTGATGACGGTTAACAACCTCATCAACTAACCTTCCTATTTTGTACAAAGCTATTCCTGACTTTTAAGTTACTGATATGGTGACACAAGTTATTGAACGAAGTCAACATTGGTCAAACATCTGACATCTTCTCATATCCTGGTAATTTATCACAGCCATATATTAAAAAAGGTTTATGGCTTCCTAAGAATTCCCTTCAGACACCTGATATAATATTGCATTTCATCTGGAAAAACAATAACATTATATCATGTTTGAAATTTGTATAAATTACAAATCGGTACTTACTCTAAATCTTCAATGGGAAGTAATGCTTCATTTATGCCTAGATTTTGTGATACCTTTTTCCATTGAGATTGTAAATACTCTAAAGTGTATGGTGATTGTTCAATACAGCATTGACTTAAAACTGAAATGAAAATAAATAAAATATTATCACACTTTTGACTATGTTAGATAGCTATGATTTCATAGACTAGTATTTGATACTAAATGATAGGTAAATGAAGGTAGACCTATGGCTGGACTCGAACCAGTGACCACTGGGTTTCCAATTCGATGCTCTATCAAATAGAGTTGCGAGATTCAGGTCCTATGTCCGGCTATAGTTCAAATTTGGATCTAGGAATTCTGCTATAGTTTTTAAATGTATAATATTATGTGAAGTTGGCAAGAATTCACTGAAAATTTCAAGATGCATTGACTCAATCATTCCTATACAAAATATGAACCTGACAATAGTCATGCATTAAAGGCAGATACTATACTGATTGGAGTTAATCGACTCATTTTAGTAGATCAACATTACGAAGCATAAAGTCCGCTTGCTGTAACTGAAAGTACTTCTCACTGAATATTATTATTATTACTAGTTGTCCCTTAGGTTCCTAGTGGAACATAGGGCTTCAGTAGCACGTAGCCATGTCACTCTCTTCTCCTAAGTCTTTTCAACCTGGCTCCACGACTCCTTACAAGCTTTCATTTCTTCCTCACACCATCTTCTTCATGTCACCCTTGTCTCGAACGCCCAACTCGACGTTTCCCATTTGGGTTCCCACTCGAAGAACTGGGGCGTGATGTCACCAAGCAGTCTTCTCAGTGTATGCCCAATCCATCTCCAGTTTCTTCTGCATATTTTTTGGGTGATGGGTTCTTGGTTGGTTCGTCTGTCTTGATGTCTTTCCGATCCTGCCTTTGACGTCCTCATTTATGCCGCCATCGCTGCCTGTAGTTGAAACTATGCTGCCTAGGTAGGTGAAAGAGACAACTTCGTTTAAGTTTCTCACGCTTATGGTGATTAGTGCTTTTTATTGTTGGTTGGGTATCTTCATCACCTCTGTCTTCTCTACGTTCACCTGAAGGAAGTCCTGTCTTCGCTGCCTTGCCTCTTCTGTCAACTTGTTAATTTTCGCCTGTAGATCTTCGAGTTTGTGCAACAAACTCCAAATCTTCTAGGATCGCTACAGAAACTCTTCACTGAACATATACAGTTTTTGTTTTGTCCTTTTAATTTGTTTTAATCGTTTAAATTTATCCTCTGAATGTATCATGTACTCTTCCACATTTTTAAAATGTTTTCAACTTGCCGTTTTTTGAATTAAAAAAAAAACCAGAGAGAAAAAAATGTGAACTTTTCAGTGTGCAAAAGTATGCCATATTTCTATTCTACGAATACTTAGCCTGAGTTACAGATTCTTGTATTAGCTAAATGAACCAACGTCATCACTAAATTTATGCTTGGATTTCTGTTGATTCTTTATTATGGGCCAGATGCCTATCCAAAACCAGCTGGCTATTTCATATTATTAACGTCATATAGATACAATAACTATCTCATCTAAAAATACTGTTCTAGGTATGACTTTGTTGAAGAGTCACTTACTGTATCTTACATATGGTTCGGAATTAAATTATTATTATTATTACTGTTACTATTATTATTATTATTAACAGCAATGATGAAGCTAGATTTCTCTTAGTTAGTGAATGAACACTGATTTAAGTAATTAACTGGTTATACATTGTCATAAAAAAGTAGATTTATTACATACCTTGCATAAGAAGAAATCCTTTAGGAATACGTTTTATATACGATTCATTTTCCTTAATGTTGGAGATAAGGCATAAACTATCTGATAGGGGACAATAATTAAATGTCTACAAGGAGAAAAGCATAGGTAAAAGCATAAATAATTATTTCATTTGTAAAAAGGATGAATCTAAAATGAAGTCAAGCAAATAGTTAATACCAGTAGTATCCGGAATTTTGTCATGTAAGCTTTATTTAGCGTGACTGACATTAGTGGTCTTTTATTCTCAGCTTTTTAATCTAGAGTACCACATTAACCGAAACTTGTTACTGGTTTTCTTCAAAATGGCCTCATACTCAATCCTTTTAGCTTAAGACATGAACTAGATCTAGTGTCAGTCCCATGACACTATTATAGAGAATATATCAAGTATGATCCATGTCGGATTATGCTTTTCTTTTGATCTTTCTTCTTCCTCTTGTACGGATTTCAGAAATGGCTGTTAAAAGCTGATGACATGAAGCGGTTGCAGGGTCTTGATCATAGGTGTCTTCGTAACATTGCTCGCATTTGGTGTAATAACTGTGTGAGGAATGTTGAGATCAAGCGAAAAGTACTGGACAAGACATGCAAGTCGGTTGACGAGGTTGTGGATTTTAGTCAACTAAGATGGCTTGGACATGTACTGTGCATGCCAGGTCACTGCCTACCTTAATGTCCCATACTAGGAGAAGTTGGATTATGTTAGAAGTGGGTTTAGGGTGGCCAGATTGAGACATAGCAACAGTCGCTGAAGTCCCTTCTTGTTGGTTTGAGTCGTGTGGGAAGATGTAGACTACCTGGTTGGGGCTTCTGAGACGAAAGGAATCAGTGCTTGGGGATACACTTGGTGACATGGATGAAAACCGGTCACAATTGTGTAGATGTATTCACTCCTCGAACTCTAAATATTCGCCCTAACAATTATCTTCAGATTGTTTATTTTCTCACACTACTTTATCTACTTTTACATCACTCCTTTTCTATCCACCTGTTCTTTGTGTACTTCTGTGAAGTGTAGCAACTTGAGCCGATGCACTTGCGTGCGAGGTTCTACGCTGATTTTTTCAGTCACTCTTGGTTCCCTCATGTGTTACTGTTTTCCAGTAAAATCCTTTGCTTGACCTTTTACATAATGGAACTCGGAGTCTGGGATAACTCAACCTCTACTCTTCTGTTTCATTAAGTCTTGTGTTTTACCTATATTTACTTATTGTTCCCTCTTATTCATTCCTGGACTACAGAAAAAAGACTACGTTGTATTGCGTAGGATTTTGAAGACTGTTAGGAGAGAAAGTGGTACACCACCAACCGTGCTGATAAATGCAGTCGTGGATAAGTATCTGAACTCTTTTAGACTATTGACTAAAAATATTTTATCTGATGACAAGCATCCTCTGCATCCGCACCTCTCTCCATATCTGTCGTCTGGGAAGAGAAGAAGCATATATATTAAACTCTATGTACGCAAAACTACATACAAAAATTCAATTATACCTTATTTAGCCTGTGTATTGTGTTAACAAAATCATGCAAAACATGATTTTATTGACCAACTTTGCAATAACGAACAGTTATCATGACCCTAAAGTCGTTAAAAATTTCAACAATCATGCTATTCAGTAAATGTCTTCATGTTCGACTTGGTTGGCCCCACCGGTCACAACTGTGCACTGGAACTTGGAGAACCACCTGTCGAACCTAGTCACCAAAGAGTACTAGATTAATTCAATTTAGAAGTTTCTGAGGATTTACTGATTTCAGGTTGGTATTCTTCGTGGACTGATATCATTTACAGGAAAGCTGGAAACCTTGGAGTACTGGGCAGCTGTGTCGTCCTAGCGTGTGCAACCACGACCCCACAAGAGATCGAACCGAGGACTTTCAGGTTCCGTGTCCATTACGTTACCATTGAACCAATGGGTCGGAATCCAATGGTCCATATCTCCTACTCCTACCAGTTCCCGATACACTGCGACCTCGACCGAATGCTGTCGCTCAGTAACTATCCTCATGTTCGACTTGACTGGCCCTACCGGTCACGACTTCTCACTGGAACTTCTTAGTCACCAATGAGAACTAGATTAATTCAACTCAATAACTCCCCACGAACCTTAGAAGTGAATCAATCATGTATAGCTAAACAGTAACCACTGTTAACATATATCACAATATCACAAGCTGAGAATCCTGTACTGTAAACATAATTATGGTTCGGAATAAAGCAAATATATTGGTATTATTATTATTATTATTATTATTATTATTATTATTATTATTATTATTATTATTATTACTAAATCAAGCTTATATGGCTACATGCTGGATACCTGTAGTAAATTCTACAGTTACACACGTTACAAGAACTTCACACTTATACGGTGAAAGAGAAATTTGATTTCATGTCTTTGTCGTAGATTAGGACTTATATGTTTCGAAGAATGTGTAGATGAAAAAATGGAGAAGCTGAAGAATACGTTGTCGCAGAATGGCTATTCAAGTAATTTGAATTAAAAAAAATACACCTCTAAACTTTGAAGCGAACTGAAAACCGAGACCGTAAGTAAGAAGGGTTTATTTTACAGATTAGAGTTTAAATTGGATGTAGCCAGTCGTAACGTAGCAATGGTCAACTGGTCTAGACACTTGACTTTCAATCGGTGGGGTTATGGGTTCTAGCCCAGCTTCCTCTACAGAGATCTGGGCAGCTAGATAGTAACATTAGCATCCAAATAATACATGTGACTCATTGCCTACTGAGCAGAAATGGACAAGTTGGCATTCATCATGGACTGAAATCAGTTGGAGGGACATTGGAAACCTGATAGCACTACATGGCTGCTTTGTCCCAGGATAGGGCTCTTCACCACTGCACATACATGACTCCACCAGGGGTCGATCCCGCGTCACTCAGGTTTCGTGACCAGCACGTTTACCACTGAGTCACTGGGTTGGAATCCAATGGTCCGTATTTCCAACTTCTGTCAGTTCACGACAGAGCGTGACCGTCATCCAATGTCATCGTTGAGTATTTGTCCTTACAGCAAGCATATTTGTCCCACCGGTCACAACTTTTCACTGGAACTTCGGGAAATCACCTCTCGAAGCTAGTCATCACTGAGCACTAGTTCAATTGAAGATGGAGGGTTTGGTGGGTTCGATCCCTGCCGCCGCCGTAGGCGCGCATTAATGAGGAGTCCCATACCAGGACGGAACAGTTGTCCAGCGCTCCAGGTTCCCAATGTTCCTCCAACTGATATCAGTCCACGATGAATACCAACTAATTAACTAACTATGACTAACATTGTTACTCTTATACACTAAGTCTGATTCTCTGACTAGTGAATATATCTATGTGTAGCTTATCGATATGTGTGTGGGGATGGATTTGAAAGTGAAAAACATTGAGGCAGTAACCGAACAAGTAGTAATAGCAGTAGTAGTAGTAGTAGTAACAGGAGTAGCAATGGGAGTCTGTAGTTCGCTTTGTTCTACTCTATATCTGTGAAACATGGCCATTAAAGGTAAAGGTGATGAGAAGCCTACCAGTATTTGACCAATGTTGCCTTCATGGGATAGACCATGTGTCCTGTTGTCAACAAGTCAGGTGTAAATTTTAGAAAAGAGTGAAAAAGGAATGAACCTTCATCGTTTCACATGGCTGGGACATGTATTATGCATGCCTAACCACCGTCTGCCTCACCACACATTGTTAGATGAAGTAGGTTCAAACTAGAAATAGGCTCAGAATGGCCACACTAAAACATGGCATCACTGCATGAAGTTGTTAATTGTTGATCTGAGCCATGTAACGAGATGCAAACTACCAGGTTGAGGTCCATGTGACAACAGAAACCAATGGTTAGAGACTAGGTGATATAGCTGAGAATCGATGTCAGTGGTGCAGATGTCTCCACACCTCATCTTCGCCTTAACTGTTATACTTAATGTGATCATTTTCTCCTTCCTTCCTTCTACTACTATTTTCCAATACACCTAACTGATTTTTCTCTTTTTCTTCATCTTTCATCTTACTACTTTGTTGCTAGTTGTTCTGATATGAGGTGCGGCAACTTGGACTGTTACGCAGTAAAGCATCGAACTACAGCACCACAAATAGTGAGTATATTACAAGACGCATATTCAAAGCAAGAATACAAATATATTCCTGACATAAAATTCTGACCAAGAAATTATTAAGATTACCTTTTTAACAAGAATTGTTTCAGTACTCGATGAATCGTTAGTGGTATTCGACTTCTGAATTGAACCAGATGATGCTGTTAATGCTCTCTTTTTCTTTACTACAACATCTTCACTGCAGAAGGGAAGAAAGAAAAATCAAAACAAAAAATGATAAAGTACCATATAAAAGTATAGTTCTTACAAAACTCTTCAATTCAGACGATAATCGAATAAAATTTAACTTGCTGGTTGGGTTCTCGTATGATAACCGAAATGGATGTTTGAAGAGATTAGGTGATATATGTTGGGACTTGGATTGTACCCGTTGCATAAGAAGTGGCTATCGTGACTCGGTGGCCTGATGGGTAGCGCTCTGGTGTTTGAAGCCATCGGTCTCGGTCTTGAGTACAAGTGGGAACAACATTGCTCACTGGAAAGCAGATACATCAAGCTGAGGAGTCACAAATAGGACGAAGCGCACATCCTAGATTCCACTGCTAGCCACTATCCATTGTTAATATAAGGTGATATGGCTGGGAATTGGCAGTGATGACCTAAATGTGTCCAAACATGATCATCTTATTTTCCATGGAACATTTCAAAATTTCTTTTAGATCCTTATCCTCGCTTCTTACGTGCTTCCTACAAAATTTGACTGCATTTTCCCCCTATTTCACTATCTCTCAGGCTTTAGGTTTAAGAATAGTAGACCGACTAGGCTGCATTAATTCTGTCAGTATAACTCCTTATGAAGAGCCAGTTTCTCCTTGAAAGCGTTAACCGAAGAAGCAGCTAGCAAAAGTTTTGCTAATAAGTTTCAGTTGTTGACCTGTTGCTTCGTATTTCAAAATGATGAGTTAAAGTACGGTAGTCTGAAGTACTGCGCAGAATAGCCAGATCCCATGCTGATATTAACGAATTGACTGAGTTAGTCATATTGTAGCTCTGTCTCTGATTGCATATTTCTCGAATAACATGAGGTGTTTGGCATAAATATATGACTTATATTTCATGGATCCCAACTAATAATTTCAATAGTTCTTGAACGCTTTGATGTACATATATGGCAAGGAATTTTTCTTGGAAGGTGTTCTTGGCATCAACATATATTCTCATTTTAACAATAAATTGATTAAACAGCATACCTACCGAAAATCGAAATTTACTCTACAACCATATACATGTTTGCGTAGTGGGCAACGAACATCATCAACTGTGTGAGGTAGTTCAATGATACTACTTGTTTGTCTGTCTGCCAAACCACGGTTAGCGAAATTTGAACCCATGACACAGTGGTTGCAAGTCGTGTTCAGAGGGCAATGAGCTACAGTTCCACTATCGACCACAAATTTTCGTTATGTGTCGCCTTTGAATTCATTGACTCTACTGGATTAATTTTTGCAATATAGGCATTCGTTTATTTCATTAGGTACAACTCAACGAAGTACAGATATATATAACAAAATAAAATTAGGCATTACAGAGTAATGGTCCAAGTTGCCGCACCTCATATCAGAACAACTAGCAACAAAGTAGTAAGATGAAAGATGAAGAAAAAGAGAAAAATCAGTTAGGTGCATTGGAAAATAGTAGTAGAAGGGAGGAAAGAGAAAATGATCACATTAAGTATAACAGTTAAGGCGAAGATGAGGTGTGGAGACATCTGCACCACTGACATTGATTCTCAGCTATATCACCTAGTCTCTAACCATTGGTTTCTGTTGTCACATGGACCTCAACCTGGTAGTTTGCATCTCGTTACATGGCTCAGATCAACAATTAACAACTTCATGCAGTGATGCCATGTTTTAGTGTGGCCATTCTGAGCCTATTTCTAGTTTGAACCTACTTCATCTAACAATGTGTGGTGAGGCAGACGGTGGTTAGGCATGCATAATACATGTCCCAGCCATGTGAAACGATGAAGGTTCACAATTGCATCAACTGCACTAAGGTATGTATCACACTTACTGTGCGAAAGATTATGCTACTACCCAACTTGTTTGAAAATCGAGCCCTAAAGCCAATGTACTGTGTCTTTAGTGTGGATCCCACCTCAGACTAAAACATGCAGTTGATGAGTCCAAAGTAGGAAGAAACACATATTCCAGCTTCCATTACTAGTCACAACTCATCAGTTATCTGAATCAGAAATTGGAAAATCCAATGAAAGGGAAATGTATACTTAGATGGCCAACTTCATTAACATTTTTTTCATACTGCACTTAGATAAAGAATAGACAATTAGTCTAAAGAAGAGAAAAAGATAATATACTCGAAGAATGTTTCATCTTGTTTTCATAGTCATCATTTCTAAACAACTTAAAACACTTGTAAGTTGAATCTAAAACAATCAAGTCTCTTAGAAAGTACATTAGAGTCAAACAGTCAACCAGTTAGTCAACACCCATATGCCATCTGGCATAACTGCGTAAGCTACCGTCAAACAACCTGATTAGGATTCGACTTCAACTTCACTTGTTACATCAAATAATACCCTTTTCTCCCAAAAGGTGACCCTCACGATTTTTCCCTACTCTTAACTCGAAGACTCCTACTTAGACACAATTTGCAAAAGGTATGATTGGTGTGATAACATGAATAAAAAACTTAGAACAGCCTTTCTTCATAACACTACTTATATCATAAGATAACTAATATTTTATTAAGTAAAATGCTTAAATTCCATATCAGACTTGTTTATTTGATTTATAACACACAGTGATACAGTAGTGTTTACTTGATGACGAAGTTTCAATGCATAAATTACCACTGCTCATGGTCATATCAATGTAATCACATTACTTTCGATATCTGACTTTTATAGTCTTGTTACCTTATACTATATGGTTTTATTGGTAAAAAGATCTTCCATATCTCTGGTATAGGTGCTGCGTCATTTGCATTACATGTGTTGGGTTGGGTGTTGATTCGATGAACAAAGATTCAATAATCAATCTCTCTCTTTCCACCTAATTATATTGAACTTGAGAACAGTGGTTTTATCCCACCATATAATGTAGTTCTGTGCTAATATGTGTGTGTATGTGTGTGTGTTAATGTATACATTGCAGTAGCCGAGTGTTTTTCTAGATTAGTGATCTTATTCGGGTCCGTGATTCAATATGTAGCTAAATTCCCATGTTCCACTATTCTAACTGACCTTGACTGGCTAGTTTGACCTATGTACTTGAAGTCGCAGTCATGATATAGAATTTGACAGATTGGACTATTTTGCTAAATTGACTCCATTGGCTCTTTAAGCCGACAAGGCCTATCTTTGAATGAGTTTGTAAATTTAAATGCCACCGTAATTACAGCTTTGTTGAGGATCCTATGTAAAGTTTTTGATGTACCTCCCCTATAGGGCGACACAATAGAGGGTGTGAACTCCTTTCTACCCGTTATTATTTCGCTTTTTATGTGTTCGTATGAATTTTCCATTAAACCGTAGAGGATAATTATTAACTATTAGTGCCTCTTTTACTTGCTTCAATTCCTTGTTTAGGTCTTTACACTGACTAGTCAGTTTTCTAGCTCCATCAATTGGACATTTGATTAAACGTATCTTAAGTGACACTGGATGAGATGACTTGAAGTCTAAATAAAGAAGCTTCTTTATGTTAAGCAACCCAATTCACTTATGAGGTAAAAAATGAACAAGGCGAATTACCCATGTTGAATTGCAGGATAAAACGAAGGACAGATGGTGGTTTGGATACTATTTCCTACAGAAAACCGATACATTTTAACAAGTATCTACAAGTACAATGAGTGGGAAATAAATTGATTAAAAAAGATTTTTTTCTTTCTGAAAACTTACGATAAGCATTCATGTGTACCAAGATCAATAAACATTAGTCCAAACAAGGCAGTTACACATGCACATATTATATCCGGTCTTGGTTTTGTTTCTATAGAACTCAAGATATTGCATATTGTTGACCATTGTTTAAAATCAGAGCATGAAGACTCAGTAACAAGAATAATTAAATTCTGATTTTGTATTATCTCTTTAAGATTATCATTCATCTGTGCAGACTTTACTTTAACCATTGGATTGAGATCTTGTGTACGAGCAATAACAGCATCAGCACGCTAAAATAAACAATAGTTGTTCAAAAGATGAGGAAAACAAAGGTACTACTCACACTCATATCAACACAATCATGAGGAATTAGGAAGTTACTCTCACAATCTTCAACAGTCACTTGCTTATCGTCTATAATAGTGAGGGTAGATATACCAGCCAATACAATATTTTTGGCTATTTCAGCAGCTAATACATTCATTCCAATCAATAGGATTTTTGACTGTTTTAACCGATTTTGTGATTCAACACCCCATAATCGTATTTGTCTATCGTATAATTCAGCTTCTTCTTCAGTGATTGAATCTTGTGGATGGTTTTCAGGTAACATGACTTCCGAAAATAACCGGTTAGCAATATTGACAGGAAACTTTTGAGATAAGACTAAAAGAAAGAAACAGGAAAAAGATCAATTGGTTTGAAACTCATTTCAACGTAAAAAATAAGATAAGAAAAAAGTCTGGAACTTATTAAATTCTAGAACAGAATGACGAGTATACACAGTCCTCTTTGCCATTTACTCATAGCCGAGAAGTTTTTTCAGCTGTTCAACAACTTTGGTATTAATAAGCTTCCCACTAGAAACCACTTGGCCAAGATCTCTGACATAAAAGTGTCATGAAATATTCTTGATTGTGTTGTGTTCTCTGAGCTGGGATGTTTAGTCGTGGAGCTTTCATCGTCTTGCCGGACGACATCATCAGTATGAAGTCAGTGCTGATGATGTCTAGAAAGACGACGAAAGCTCCACGACTAAACAACCCAGCTCAGAGAACATAACACAAACAAGACCATCTACCTGAGCTACAAAAATTCTCCACCATTTCAATGTCGTGAAATAGCGAAAGATATTACTGTTGAACGGCTTAAGTAGTTAAAAGCTACTCCGATCGATCTGTAGATTTCGACAGCTGGATCACATCGGACACCTTGGTAACATGGCTGAAAATCGGTTACACTGGCGTAGGTGTATTCACTCTTTGACGTCTTCTAAAGCTTAAATACTCGCATTAACCTTCATCTTCAGATTGTTTACTGCCTTACACTACTCTGATATCACTCTTTTTCGATGTACTTCTGTACGAGGTTCTAAGCTGCTTCTGTCTGTCAAATAGCAAACAGTCGTTTCGCTCGTTCTGGGGCCGAACTCATCAGTAGCGAAGGCTAGATACTCAGTACAGTTACATCATTGATTAGCTCGGCATCAAGCGAGTGAAGTGGCCGTTCAGTGTTTAGATTACTTTGATCTGATGGGAAAAATCTACTACTTAATTGTTCAGTAGTAGTATATTTCTTATTAAATTCTATCTACAACCGTACAATCCTACCGACTGAGTGGTGGAAAATCACTCGTCGTTCAGCATCTGACAGTCAATTAGGTATTGATAATGCTTGATCTACAGGCAACTGGATAGGGAATCAGTGAAATATATAATTATATTATCATTTAATAGGTAGTTTTGAAGAAAAAAGTCGGCCATTGTAATGCATACAGTAACCTACTATCCTATAGTACGATGGGAGGGAGCTATACTCCTATGGGCCAATACACATTCACTTGTAGACAGATTGACTACTGAATCTTTCTTCATACAGTCAACACCCAATACATGCAATACAAACAATGCAACACCCATTCCGGATATGTGGATATATAATAGAACTAAACGTCCTCTATGTTAGAAGTTGTGTAACTACTTCGCTATGTTTTTGAGCAATAAATCGTGCTCAAAATGTCATTCAGTAAGTAATACTGTGTCATTGTTTGTGTTATACTAAATAAACTTATTTAATATGGAATTGCATTTTACTACAATCAGTTAACTGACTGATAGAATCAAAGTAGAACTTTGTACAGGAGTGCATTGGCTCAAGTTGCCACACTTCACAGTACACAAAAAGCAAATGGATAAGAAAAACTAATATCAAAGTCAATAGAGTTGTGTGAGGAAATAAACAATCTGAAAGCAACGGTTACAGCAAATATTCAAGCTTTCGAAGACGTTAAGGAGTGAATACATCTGTGCCATTACGACCAATTTTCGGCAATTTCACCGTCTTTAACCACTGATTCCTATCGTCTCGGACACCCCTATCAAGTAGCCGCCAGACTGCTGGGTGAGTTCTAGTAGAGAGCATTCATTGGCGTTATGTACTTGCTCGGTACTCCCTTCAGCCAGGCACTGCCACAAAACCTCACGGTTCACAAAGTCAAATGTCATCTTCAGGTCAAGACATATACCGGTAGGTATCCCTGTTTCAGAACCTGCTGGAAAGTAAAAATGTGATCAATGCATCCTCTAAAACCTGTCTGATTTTCTCGAGTTTCAGTTAGGTGTCGGAAAACTATGGACCCTAGGATCATGGACATGATATCAGTTAAACTGATTCTCCTGCAAGTGTCACAGTAAGGCTTCTCTCTCTTCTTACAGACTGGAATGATCAGTGAAGTAGGCCAGTCTGAAAGAAATACCTGTGATTACAATACACTACCTAATAATTGTCACTTTTTTCCATGATTTCATACGTCAATCCTTAAAATCTTCTGGTGACAAACTGTCAGGTCCTGCTGCTTTGTATCGTTTAACGCCCGAAACAGCCTCTTCAGCTTAGATGAAATTTGGAGAACCAACACACATGTCTCATTTAAGTTTGGGCTAGATGCTGGGCAACTGAAGTGTTGCTGTGAGCCAGTTGAACTGTGCCTCAAAGTGTTCTGCTCACCGTCCTAGCCATTTGTTCTGCAACGTTATCAGAATGCCATCTTTTTCGGTGATGGTTTCATTCAGTATAGTTTCTGTCTTCCCGGTGTCCCTAAGAACTCGAAATAATTGCCGAGTATCACCTAATGGTGATGCTTTCTTTATTTGTCGCTTTCGTCCCGTGAGTCACTTTTCCAGGACGTCATATATGCTATTTGTGATGCTTTGAAAGCTGGCATTGATCTTTATATATGGAGGTCCGCATAAAGCTACTAAAAATGATTCTTAGTGGGTTTCAGTAAGTTGTCATCTGTATTCAAATACTTAATTTGAAGAGCCTGTCCCACAAAGGCACTTAACCACGCTTCATTGATGCTATTTGACGATATGATTCATCCGTATAAGCATCAAGGCTATAATCTATCAGTGCCTAATCATAGTTAAAGAAATGAGCCTACTATCTTTCAGCAGTTAGTTCTTTTTCAATTACTAGGCCAGTTCGGGAGTGTGCAGGTAATAGTTAGTGCAAACACAATCGAAAACTAACTTTACTCGACTCCAAAGCTTTGTACAACAACATTCATGTTTGTTACCAACGCTGCTTGTTCTGCAGATAAGTAAATACAAAACACCCAATGAACAACATTCCCACAGTTGAACCTAACAAAAACTATATAAATACACATACTACCCGGCGACTAACTCCCCTCAAAATATTTACCCTAAAATAAGAAATTCGAACTAAATCATAAAAATAATCACATAGCAGAATTTAAACAAGACTATTTCTAGGGCACACTAGTCCGTGAGTACGAAGAATTAAACAGTATTGCAGTACAGTCATAGGTAACTGGTTAAGGGATCCCTAAACCAGTCAACTCGAGTTGACTTCAAACCAATGAGTCATGGGTTCGAACACCGTTCCACCTACAGAGGTTTGGATAGTCAGGTAGTACTAGCACAATAAGTGTTGCTCATTGTCTACTGCACGAATGCACAGAAGGTTGCTGATTAGATTTCAGTTTTTCACTTCACATAGGGGAACGGACCAATACTTGTAAAAATTCCCTGAAGTCAACACAACGAACACCTCTTGACTCTTCCAAAGTCAAATGGATTTCTCGCTACAACTTTGTCTAGGTTTGGGAGTTCCAAACTTTACTTCTCTAATAATTCTACAGGAGTTTATGTCAGCAATCTGTAAGAGATATCGGACCACTTGGAGGTTTTTTACGTTTTGTTTTCATATCAAAGTTCAGGTGGTTAAATTCCTGAGTCACACAGATGAATAACTTTTTCGCATGTACGTTAACTTAAAGCAGAAAAAGAAGTTGAAAACAGAATGTTTCTTCAGAACGTTATAAAACCATATATACTGCAAATTTCTCGTTATTTCCGTATAAAAACTAGAAAGAACGACGTTTTTCGCATTCGTGCGTTGAAGATCACGTGGTAGTCCCTAAATGACGGTAGGATTCTGTACTCATCCTCCGATATGTGAGGTTAAATCCTGATAAATTTAAATTGGAGACCAAATCGCAGGACGATAAAAGGCATGAGAAATGAGTCTTGTGGAAACATTAACACCAGGTTAAATCTGCATTTAGACATCAAAATACCTGTTTCAAGGCAAATAAGTCCTATGTGAGCGCGACAATCTATTTGTAGCCCCCAACCAGAATTGACCTAAGCGACCGTTTCCTTCAGAACTTCGTGTTTCGAATGCTTGAGTTGAGTTAAAGGACATCCCAAGGACTAAATTGTTCCGAAGCCAGGACAGCTAACTCATGTTGTAAAATGACCAAAAGTATGATATATTTCACAATTTTGTTAACTGAAATATTTTGGGGCGTACCATGTTTAGCCTTAAATGAAAAGTTCCTTGTCCAATATCCAATATCTTTTAACGAGCTAGTGTAAACCAGTTGATTTCTTCCCACTCGTTTCTAGGTCTTGCGGAACAATTCCAGGTCTTTGGTGGATTCCAATGCAGTAGTTCTACCCACTCGACTGCTGTAGCCCGGTTAGCCCGACGGGCAGTTGGGTGTTGTTTACATTTGTAGGAAGTGTTGTTTGCTTTTTCTTCCGAGGACTGTGGCGCAGATGGGTCCCTCAGACGTCGGACTGGTTGTAAAAATGAGATGAAAAATATGTGTTGCGTTGCACTGCTCGCATTCGACTCTCTAGCCAGTTAGTTGGAACGCATCGGCATCTCGGCACAACCATCCAAATGCACTATTCCATCCGACTACTCTATCGTGTTCTTCCTTGGTCTTGTAGCGTCATACACTTCCCCAAAATCAATAGCCTAGGGTTTGACGACTTCGACATTGATGCTGACCTTGATAGTTTAACTGGACTCGCTAAGCTGAAGGCATCCGGTCAAGCATCCTCGCCATTTGGCACGCTGTCGTGTTACGTTGCATTGCTCGTATTCGACTCTCTAGCCAGTTAGTTGGAACGCATCGGTATTTTGGCATAACCATCCAAATATACTATTCCATCCGACTACGCTATCGTGTTCTTCCTTGGTCTCGTATTCGTGGGTATATAACAAGTTCGAATAATTAGTGATTGGTCTTTGCGTCTGTCAAGTTCGCACCAGGACAAATCCTAAATTGGTGAGCCCGACGTGATCAAATATCCCGACGTGATCACATATCCCGACAATAGCAAGTATTGAATTGGTGAGCCTGTTCCATTTTATATTTGTTTATTGTTTTCATTTCGATAACATTTATATATCCATTTACTACACTTTCTCATGTCCGACCACACTCCCAAGCTTATTCGTATTAAGCCGACCTCGAACACGATCCAACTCGTGCCATATTGGCCAGACAATGCAGAAACATGGTTTCTGTATGCCGAGGCCGATTTTCGAGAACAGGGTGTCTCAGATCCTCATCTCGATTTCTTGCTGTCATACGTTCACTACCGCGAGAATTAAACAGGTTTGTTACAGCAAACATGTTTAATCCTGAAGTAAGTGACCCTTATGCACTTCTAAAGGCTGCACTCTTGAAGAAAGGCGATCTCACAGATCGCCAACGTCTAGACGAATTGCTTCGTAACATCGAGCTAGGCAGCCACTCAGCTACTGAAGTCCTCGCACGCATGCGAGAAGTAATCGGTGCACGAACATTTGACGATGGTTTCTTCCGAGAACTATTTCTCTCGAAACTACCACAACCGGTGCAAACCGTGTTGGTGACACTCCAGTCAGTCCCACTCGACGACCTGGCAGCTTCAGCAGATAAAATACTGGAGATATCCAGCAGACCCGTCTCCAACGTATATTCTATCTGTGACAAAACAGAGCGCCAGGATTCGGAGGTGACCAAGTTGTGCAACTCTGTGAAACGGTTGCTACGATCTCGAAGTCCTAGATCACGTAGCACTTCACAGAAACGCACCTTGGCGCATCGCAGCAAGTCGCGTGGTAGCCCTAAAACGAAACCCAACAGGGTGGAAAACCCTGAATGGTGCTGGTTTCATAACACTTACGGGGATGAAGCCAGAAAATGTCGTAAACCATGCCGTTTTAAGAAGGACCGAACTCGGGAAACGGTCACGCCGGCACGTGCTCACGGCAACCGTAGCCGGCGGAAAAAGCCGTTTGCTCTACGTCACCGACATTAAAACGAAAGTCCGCTACCTCGTCGACACCGGCGCAGAAGTTAGCGTTCTTCCAGCAACGACAAAGGAGCGTCATCTCGACCCATCCTTCAATCTTCAAGCAGCCAACGGCAAGGCAATCGCGACATTCGGGAGACGGTATGCCTACCTCAACTTAGGTTTACGCAAACCTATTCACTGGATTTTCCTCCTGGCAGACGTCTCTATGCCTATCATTGGCATAGATTTGCTGAACCATTACGATCTACTCGTAGATGCTCGCCGTCGACGACTGATAGATAACAACACAAAGTTATCTATTGGCGGCACCACCTATGTAGGTCCGAGTTTAGCCATCGTTAGGACTAAACAATCAGACGACGCGTCCTACCAGGCAGTTCTGGAGAAATATCCAGAGTTACAACAACCGAAACACACTCTTCCGTGCATAACCAGCAATGTTATGCATCACGTCACAACCACAGGTCCACCTGTGGCATCCAAAGCTCGCCGTTTAGCCCCCGATAAGCTGCAAACGGCGAAAAATGAATTCGACCATATGCTGGAACTGGGCATTATCAGACCGTCAAACAGTCCTTGGGCATCGCCATTGCACATGGTGCCCAAAAAGGATAGCAACGACTGGCGTCCGACCGGTGATTACCGAAGGCTTAACGCCAAAACAACTCCGGACTGCTACCCTATACCCCACGTTTACGACTTGACCGCAACCTTATGCGGCATGAACATTTTCTCGAAAATCGACTTAGTCAAAGCGTACAACCAGATACCTATGGCAGCAGAAGATATCGCGAAAACAGCCATTATTACTCCTTTTGGCCTGTTTGAATTCCTGCGCATGCCTTTTGGTCTTCGGAATGCAGCACAAACATTCCAACGCTTTATGGACGACGTCTTCCGTGGTCTGAATTTTGTTCATGTCTACATAGATGACTGTCTAATTGCGAGTCCAGATAAGGAAACACACCTTAAACATTTGGACCTCGCATTCGAAAGACTCAAAAAACATGGCATCACAGTTAACTTACAGAAGTGTGAAATAGGAGTTGAATCACTCAGCTTCCTTGGGCATACCATTGACAACAAAGGTATACGCCCATTGAGAGATAAAGTGGCGGCTATCACAAACTATCCAGAGCCGACCACTGTGAAACATCTCCGCACTTTCAATGGCCTGGTAAGTTATTACCGAAGGTTTATCCCTAACTGTGCCTCTGTCATGAGACCACTCACAGATCTACTTCGAGGAACTGCGAAGTTCGTGTCTCTGGACAACGCGGCTAGACTTGCTTTCTCCAAAGTCAAGGAAGCCATTTCGAACGCAACCATGCTTATGCATCATGACCCCAATGCTCCTCTGAGTATTGCTGTTGATGCATCTGATTCAGCAATTGGAGCAGTTTTGCAACAGTTGACTGACAACCAGTGGCAACCGTTAGCCTTTTTCTCGAGGCGGCTGCAAGACGCGGAAACAAGATACAGTACATTTGGTAGGGAACTCCTAGCCATGTACTGTTCTGTACGCCATTTTCGACATTCTGTGGAAGGTCGTGATTTCATTATTTTCACAGACCACAAACCGTTAACGTTTTCCCTCAGCTCGGCGTCTGACAAATACTCCCCTCGTGAGTCGCGACAGCTGGATTACATTTCCCAGTTCACGTCAGACATCCGCCACATTTCTGGAGCAAACAACTCCGCAGCCGACGCACTATCTCGAATAGCTTCGATAAACTATATCGAGGGTATTGATCTCGTTGAACTAGCTCGGCGTCAAAAGGAAGACCTTGAGCTGCATCATGAGTTGTCGTCCACAACTCTCAAACTGCGACTTTGTCCTGTTGGATCAGACAAGGATGCAATTTTGTGCGATGTCTCTGCTAGTCAACCACGCCCAATAGTTCCGAAGAGTTGTCGACGCAACGTCTTCAATACGTTGCACAAACTCTCTCATCCAGGTGTACGAGCCACCATTAGGCTTATCGCACAACGTTTCTGCTGGCCTGGGATGAACAAAGACGTTAAGGAGTGGGCCCAGTCGTGCTTAGCTTGTCAAAAGTGTAAAGTCACGCGACACACGAAAAGCCCTTTAGGCTCATTTCTAGCCCCAGACATGCGTTTCGACCACGTCCATATAGATATTGTAGGACCCCTACCAGAATCTAATGGATGTACCTACCTTTTCACCTGTGTTGATCGTTTCACACGATGGCCGGAAGCAGTACCCATTAAAGATATTACTGCCGAAACAGTTGCTCGTGTTTTCGTCGAAAGATGGATCGCGAACTTCGGATGTCCATCCTACGTCACAACCGACCGTGGGCGCCAATTTGAGTGCGGACTATTTCACGCTCTAACGGCACTTTTAGGTTGCACTCGGTTCCGAACGACAGCCTACCATCCACAAGCAAATGGCATGGTAGAGCGTTTCCATCGACAGCTGAAAGCTTCCCTTTCAGCTACAAACATACCTCAGTGGACCGAGGCTCTGCCTCTAGTCCTACTAGGTATTCGTAACGCGTTGAAAGTTGATGCTGGATGCACTCCTGCAGAACTCGTCTATGGGACCACTCTTCGCCTACCAGGTGAGTTTGTTTCCCCTTCAACTTTCAAACATGTTTCCGATAGGGCATCTTATGTGACTAGGCTTACAAACGCAATGCGTTCAGTTAGGCCTTCTCCGATTAGACCGCAAACGACTGATGTTTTCGTCCACCCCAGTTTACAGAAGACATCACACGTGTTTGTTCGCCACGACGCTGTTCGTCGACCACTTGAACCACCCTACGACGGGCCGTTCAAAGTGATTAAGCGACATGAGAAATTCTATGTAATTGAGCGAGGCGGACGCGAAGATACTGTCAGTATCGACCGTTTGAAACCAGCTTATTTCGAAGGCAACCCCATTGTAAGTGACGTTTCAGCTCGCTACATCCGGCCGACGGATGACTCAATTATCGAAATTCTCGACGATGTGCCTGGTAATGCACAGCTGCAACAACCAGCGGCGCAACAAAAAACACGATCAGGTCGAACCGTCAGGTTCCCAGAGTACCTGAAGTCATATTCAACTTAGCTATGTGTGTGCCAACCATTTTTTTCGAGGCACTATTTTTCTTATTTACCGGCACAAACCCTCGTACACTTTGCCTTTTTATATCAATTTTTATTTACCATGTAATAAAAACTAAAAAAACGGCGAAGATAAGCGTAAATTTTTCTTTTTCGACACGTTTATATATAAATAATTCCCATTTTTACGCAACGTTTTCGTGGTATTAAAGACTTTTATTTATATTCCAGGTGCAACGAGCACTGGACGGAACGTCGAAAGGAACAGATGACCGCGACCGACGTACAATTTCATTTATTGTATTTTATTTATTTAATCGCCACGACACCCTAGAATAAGGTTCAGACAACCAGGGGCCACCTCACGCAGTGAGCCCATCGGAGAGTTTTACCAGTGGAGAAACCACTGGGTTTTTACTTCCGGCTGGTATCGTCTTAGGGTCCTCACGAACCCACTAGGGGGGGAGTGATCTGTAGCGTCATACACTTCCCCAAAATCAATAGCCTAGGGTTTGACGACTTCGACATTGATGCTGACCTTGATAGTTTAACTGGACTCGCTAAGCTGAAGGCATCCGGTCAAGCATCCTCGCCATTTGGCACGCTGTCGTGTTACGTTGCATTGCTCGTATTCGACTCTCTAGCCAGTTAGTTGGAACGCATCGGTATTTTGGCATAACCATCCAAATATACTATTCCATCCGACTACGCTATCGTGTTCTTCCTTGGTCTCGTATTCGTGGGTATATAACAAGTTCGAATAATTAGTGATTGGTCTTTGCGTCTGTCAAGTTCGCACCAGGACAAATCCTAAAGTACATCCTAAATTGGTGAGCCCGACGTGATCAAATATCCTAACGCGATCAAATATTCCGACGTCATCGCATATCCCGACCAATAGCAGACATTGAATTGATGAGCCTGTTCCATTTTAAATTTGTTTATTGTTTTCATTTCGATAACATTTATATATCCATTTACTACACTTTCTCATGTCCGACCACACTCCCAAGCTTATTCGTATTAAGCCGACTTCGAACACGATCCAACTCGTGCCATATTGGCCAGACAATGCAGAAACATGGTTTCTGTATGCCGAGGCCGATTTTCGAGAACAGGGTGTCTCAGATCCTCATTCTCGATTTCTTGCCGTCATACGTTCACTACCGCGAGAATTAAACAGGTATCTTACAGCAAACATGTTTAATCCTGAAGTAAGTGATCCTTATGCACTTCTAAAGGCCGCACTCTTGAAGAAAAGCGATCTCACAGATCGCCAACGTCTAGACGAATTGCTTCGTAACATCGAGCTAGGCAGCCACTCAGCTACTGAAGTCCTCGCACGCATGCGAGAAGTAATCGGTGCACGAACATTTGACGATGGCCTTTTCCGAGAACTATTTCTCTCGAAACTACCACAACCGGTGCAAACCGTGTTGGTGACACTCCAGTCAGTCCCACTCGACGACCTGGCAGCCTCAGCAGATAAAATACTGGATATATCCAGCAGACCCGTCTCCAACGTATATTCTATCTGTGACAAACCAGAGCGCCAGGATTCAGAGGTGACCAAGTTGTGCAACTCTGTGAAACGGTTGCTACGATCTCGAAGTCCTAGATCACGTGGAACTCCGCAGAAACGCACCTTGGCGCATCGCAGCAAGTCGCGTGGTAGCCCTAAAACGAAACCCAACAGGGTGGAAAACCCTGAATGGTGCTGGTTTCATAACACTTACGGAGGCGAAGCCAGAAAATGTCGTAAACCATGCCGTTTTGACAAGGACACAAACTCGGGAAACGGTCACGCCGGCACGTGCTCACGGCAACCGTAGCCGGCGGAAAAAGCCGTTTGCTCTACGTCACCGACATTAAAACGAAAGTCCGCTACCTCGTCGACACCGGCGCAGAAGTTAGCGTTCTTCCAGCAACGACAAAGGAGCGTCATCTCGACCCATCCTTCAATCTTCAAGCAGCCAACGGCAAGGCAATCGCGACATTTGGGAGACGGTATGCCTACCTCAACTTAGGTTTACGCAAACCTACCCACTGGATTTTCCTCCTGGCTAACGCTTCTATGCCCATCATTGGCATAGATTTGCTAAACCATTACGATCTACTCGTAGATGCTCGCCGTCGACGACTGATAGACAACGACACAAAGTTATCTATTGGCGGCACCACCTATGTAGGTCCGAGTTTAGCCATCGTTAGGACCAAGCTATCAGGCGACACGCCCTACCAAGCAGTTTTGGAGAAATATCCAGAGTTACGACAACCGAAGCAAACTCTTCCGTGCATAACCAGCAATGTTATGCATCACGTCACAACCACAGGTCCACCTGTGGCATCCAAAGCGCGCCGTTTAGCCCCCGATAAGCTGCAAACGGCGAAAAATGAATTCGACCATATGCTGGAACTGGGCATTATCAGACCGTCAAACAGTCCTTGGGCATCGCCATTGCACATGGTGCCCAAAAAGGATAGCAACGACTGGCGTCCGACCGGTGATTACCGAAGGCTTAACGCCAAAACAACTCCGGACTGCTACCCTATACCCCACGTTTACGACTTGACCGCAACCTTATGCGGCATGAACATTTTCTCGAAAATCGACTTAGTCAAAGCGTACAACCAGATACCTATGGCAGCAGAAGATATCGCGAAAACAGCCATTATTACTCCTTTTGGCCTGTTTGAATTCCTGCGCATGCCTTTTGGTCTTCGGAATGCAGCACAAACATTCCAACGCTTTATGGACGACGTTTTCCGTGGTCTGAATTTTGTTCATGTCTACATAGATGACTGTCTAATTGCGAGTCCAGATAAGGAAACACACCTTAAACATTTGGACCTCGCATTCGAAAGACTCAAAAAACATGGCATCACAGTTAACTTACAGAAGTGTGAAATAGGAGTTGAATCACTCAGCTTCCTTGGGCATACCATTGACAACAAAGGTATACGCCCATTGAGAGATAAAGTGGCGGCTATCACAAACTATCCAGAGCCGACCACTGTGAAACATCTCCGCACTTTCAATGGCCTGGTAAGTTATTACCGAAGGTTTATCCCTAACTGTGCCTCTGTCATGAGACCACTCACAGATCTACTTCGAGGAACTGCGAAGTTCGTGTCTCTGGACAACGCGGCTAGACTTGCTTTCTCCAAAGTCAAGGAAGCCATTTCGAACGCAACCATGCTTATGCATCATGACCCCAATGCTCCTTTGAGTATTGCTGTTGATGCATCTGATTCAGCAATTGGAGCAGTTTTGCAACAGTTGACTGACAACCAGTGGCAACCGTTAGCCTTTTTCTCGAGGCGGCTGCAAGACGCGGAAACAAGATACAGTACATTTGGTAGGGAACTCCTAGCCATGTACTGTTCTGTACGCCATTTTCGACATTCTGTGGAAGGTCGTGATTTCGTTATTTTCACAGACCACAAACCGTTAACGTTTTCCCTCAGCTCGGCGTCTGACAAATACTCCCCTCGTGAGTCGCGACAGCTGGATTACATTTCCCAGTTCACGTCAGATATCCGCCACATTTCTGGAGCAAACAACTCCGCAGCCGACGCACTATCTCGAATAGCTTCGATAAACTATATCGAGGGTATTGATCTCGTTGAACTAGCTCGGCGTCAAAAGGAAGACCTTGAGCTGCATCATGAGTTGTCGTCCACAACTCTCAAACTGCGACTTTGTCCTGTTGGATCAGACAAGGATGCAATTTTGTGCGATGTCTCTGCTAGTCAACCACGCCCAATAGTTCCGAAGAGTTGTCGACGCAACGTCTTCAATACGTTGCACAAACTCTCTCATCCAGGTGTACGAGCCACCATTAGGCTTATCGCACAACGTTTCTGCTGGCCTGGGATGAACAAAGACGTTAAGGAGTGGGCCCAGTCGTGCTTAGCTTGTCAAAAGTGTAAAGTCACGCGACACACGAAAAGCCCTTTAGGCTCATTTCTAGCCCCAGACATGCGTTTCGACCACGTCCATATAGATATTGTAGGACCCCTACCAGAATCTAATGGATGTACCTACCTTTTCACCTGTGTTGATCGTTTCACACGATGGCCGGAAGCAGTACCCATTAAAGATATTACTGCCGAAACAGTTGCTCGTGTTTTCGTCGAAAGATGGATCGCGAACTTCGGATGTCCATCCTACGTCACAACCGACCGTGGGCGCCAATTTGAGTGCGGACTATTTCACGCTCTAACGGCACTTTTAGGTTGCACTCGGTTCCGAACGACAGCCTACCATCCACAAGCAAATGGCATGGTAGAGCGTTTCCATCGACAGCTGAAAGCTTCCCTTTCAGCTACAAACATACCTCAGTGGACCGAGGCTCTGCCTCTAGTCCTACTAGGTATTCGTAACGCGTTGAAAGTTGATGCTGGATGCACTCCTGCAGAACTCGTCTATGGGACCACTCTTCGCCTACCAGGTGAGTTTGTTTCCCCTTCAACTTTCAAACATGTTTCCGATAGGGCATCTTATGTGACTAGGCTTACAAACGCAATGCGTTCAGTTAGGCCTTCTCCGATTAGACCGCAAACGACTGATGTTTTCGTCCACCCCAGTTTACAGAAGACATCACACGTGTTTGTTCGCCACGACGCTGTTCGTCGACCACTTGAACCACCCTACGACGGGCCGTTCAAAGTGATTAAGCGACATGAGAAATTCTATGTAATTGAGCGAGGCGGACGCGAAGATACTGTCAGTATCGACCGTTTGAAACCAGCTTATTTCGAAGGCAACCCCATTGTAAGTGACGTTTCAGCTCGCTACATCCGGCCGACGGATGACTCAATTATCGAAATTCTCGACGATGTGCCTGGTAATGCACAGCTGCAACAACCAGCGGCGCAACAAAAAACACGATCAGGTCGAACCGTCAGGTTCCCAGAGTACCTGAAGTCATATTCAACTTAGCTATGTGTGTGCCAACCATTTTTTTCGAGGCACTATTTTTCTTATTTACCGGCACAAACCCTCGTACACTTTGCCTTTTTATATCAATTTTTATTTACCATGTAATAAAAACTAAAAACACGGCGAAGATAAGCGTAAATTTTTCTTTTTCGACACGTTTATATATAAATAATTCCCATTTTTACGCAACGTTTTCGTGGTATTAAAGACTTTTATTTATATTCCAGGTGCAACGAGCACTGGACGGAACGTCGAAAGGAACAGATGACCGCGACCGACGTACAATTTCATTTATTGTATTTTATTTATTTAATCGCCACGACACCCTAGAATAAGGTTCAGACAACCAGGGGCCACCTCACGCAGTGAGCCCATCGGGAGAGTTTTACCAGTGGAGAAACCACTGGGTTTTTACTTCCGGCTGGTATCGTCTTAGGGTCCTCACGAACCCACTAGGGGGGGAGTGATCTGTAGCGTCATACACTTCCCCAAAATCAATAGCCTAGGGTTTGACGACTTCGACATTGATGCTGACCTTGATAGTTTAACTGGACTCGCTAAGCTGAAGGCATCCGGTCAAGCATCCTCGCCATTTGGCACGCTGTCGTGTTACGTTGCATTGCTCGTATTCGACTCTCTAGCCAGTTAGTTGGAACGCATCGGTATTTTGGCATAACCACCCAAATATACTATTCCATCCGACTACGCTATCGTGTTCTTCCTTGGTCTCGTATTCGTGGGTATATAACAAGTTCGAATAATTAGTGATTGGTCTTTGCGTCTGTCAAGTTCGCACCAGGACAAATCCTAAAGTCTCATACTCGTGGGTATACAACAAGTCCAAATAATTAGTGATTGGTCTTTGCGTCTGTCAAGTTCGCACAAGGACAAATCCTAAATTGGTGAGCCCGACGTGATCAAATATCCTAACGCGATCAAATATTCCGACGTCATCGCATATCCCGACCAATAGCAGACATTGAATTGATGAGCCTGTTCTATTTTAAATTTGTATATTGTTTTCATTTCGATAACATTTACATACCCATTTACTACACTTTCTCATGTCCGACCACACTCCCAAGCTTATTCGTATTAAGCCGACTACGAACACGATCCAACTCGTGTCATATCGGCCAGACAATGCAGAAACACGGTTTCCATATGCCGAGGCCGATTTTCGAGAACAGGGCGTCCCACATCCTCATTCTCGATTTCTTGCCGTCATACGGTCACTAACACGGGAATTAAACAGGCATCTTACAGCACACATGTTTAGTCCTGAAGTAAGTGATCCTTATGCACTTCTCAAGGCCGCACTCTTGGAGAAAAGCGATCTCACAGATCGCCAACGTCTAGACGACTTACTTCGTAACATCGAGCTGGGTAGCCACTCAGCTGCTGAAGTCCTCGCACGCATGCGAGAAGTTACGGGTGCACGAACATTGGAAAACGGCCTTTTCCGAGAACTATTTCTCTCGAAACTACCACAACCGGCGCAAACCATGTTGGTGACACTCCAGTCAGTCTCACTCGATGACCTGGCAGCCTCAGCAGATAAAATACTGGATATTTCTAGCAGACCCGCCTCCCAAGTATATTCTGTCTGTGGCAAACCAGAGCGCCAGGATCCAGAGGTGACAAAGCTGTGCAACTCTGTCAAACAGCTGCTACGATCTCGAAGTCCTAGTTTACGTGGAACTCCGCAGAAACGCGTCTTAGTGTATCGCAGCAACTCGCGTGGTTGCCCCAAAACTAAACCCAATAGGGTGTAAAACCCTGAGTGGGGCTGGTTTCATAATACTTACGGAGGCGAAGCCAGAAAATGCCGGAAAACATGCAGTTTTGACAAGGACACAAACTCGGGAAACTGTCATGCCGACACTTGTTCACGGCAAACATAGCCGGCGGAAACAGCCGTTCGCTGTACGTCATCGACATTAAAAGGAAAGTTCGCTACCTCGTCGACACCGGCGCGGAAGTTAGCGTTCTTCCAGCAACGACAAAGGAGGGTCATCTTGACCCATCCTTCAATCTTCAAGCAGCCAACGGCAAGGCAATCGTGACGTTTGGGAGACGGTACGCCTACCTCAACTTAGGCTTACATAAACCTACCCACTGGGTTTTCCTCCTGGCTAACGCTTCTATGCCCATCATTGGCATGGATTTGCTAAACCATTACGATCCACTCGTAGGTGCTCGCCGTCGGCGTCTGATTGACAACGACACAAAGTTATCTACTGGCGGCACCACCTATGTAGGTTCGAGCTTAGCCATCGTTGGAACCAAGCTATCAGGCGACACGCCCTACCAAGCAGTTTTTGGGAAATATCCAGAGTTGCGACAACCGAAGCAAACTCTTTCGTGCATAACCAGCAATGTTATGCATCACGTCACAACCACAGGTCCACCTTTGGCATCCAAAGCGCACCGTCTAGCCCCCGATAAGCTCAGAACGGCGAAGGGTGAATTCGACCACATGCCTGAACTGGGCATTATCAGACCGTCAAACAGTCCTTGGGCATCGCCATTGCACATGGTGCCCAAAAAGGATAGCAACGACTGGCGTCCAACTGGTGATTACCGAAGGCTTAAAGCCAAAACAACTCCAGACTGCTACCTGATACCTCACGTTTACGATTTGACTGCAACCTTATGCGGAATGAACATTTTCTTCAAAATCGATTTGGTCAAGGCGTACAACCAAATACCTATGGCAGCAGAAGATATCGCAAAAACGGCCATTACTACTCCTTTTGGCCCGTTTGAGTTCCTGCGCATGCCATTTGGTCTTCGGAATGCAACACAAGCATTCCAGCGCTTCATGGATGACGTCTTCCGTGGTTTGAATTTTGTTCATGTCCACGTCGATGACTGTCTAATTGCGAGTCCAGATAAGGAAACTCACCTCGAACATTTGGACTTCTCATTCGAAAGACTTAAAAAACGTGGCATCACGGTCGACTTACGGAAGTGTGGAATAAGAGTCGAATCACTCAGCTTCCTTGTGCATACCATTGACAACAAGGGTATATGCCCATTGAGAGATAAAGTGGCGACTATCACGAACCATCCACAGCCAACCACTGTGAAACACCTCCGCACTTTCAATGGCCTGGTAAGTTATTACCGAAGGTTTATCCCTAACTGTGCCTCTGTCATGAGGCCACTAACAGATCTACTTCGAGGGGCTACGAAGTTCTTGGCTCTGGACAACGTGGCTAGACTTGCTTTTTCTACAGTCAAGGAAGCCATTTCGAACGCAACCATGCTCATGCATCACTACCACAATGCTCCTCTGAGTATTGCTGTTGATGCATCTGACTCAGCAACTGGAGCGATTCTGCAACAATTGACTGACAACCGGTGGCAACCGTTAGCCTTTTTCTCGAGGCGGCTGCAAGACGTGGAAACAAGATACAGTACATTTGGTAGGGAACTCCTAGTTATGTACTGTTCTGTACGCCATTTTCGACATTCTGTGGAAGCTCGTGATTTCATTATTTTCACAGACCACACACCATTAACGTTTGCCCTCGGCTGGGCGTCTGACAACCACTCCCGTCGAGTCGCGACATCCTGACTATATTTCTCAGTTCACGTCAGACATCCGCCACATTTCTGGGGCAAATAACTCCGTAGCCGACGCACTATCACAAATGGCTTCGATAAGTCATATCGAGGGCGTTGATCTCGTTGAACTAGCTCGGCGTCAAAAGGAAGACCTTGAGCTGCATCATGAGTTGTCGTCCACAACTCTCAAGCTGCCACTTTGGTTGGCTGGATCAGACAAGGATACAAATTTGTGCGATGCCTCTGCCAGTCAACCACGCCCAATAGTTCCGAAGAGTTGTCGACGCAACGTCTTCAATACGTTGCACAAACTCTCTCATCCAGGTAAACGAGCCACCATTAGGCTTATCGCACAACGTTTCTGCTGGCCTGGGATGAACAAAGACGTTAAAGAGTGGGCTCAGTCATGCTTAGCTTGTCAAAAGTGAAAATTCATGCGACATATGAAAGGCTCTTTAGGCCCTTTTCTAGTCCCAGACATGCGTTTCGACCACGTCCATATAGATATTGTAAGACCCCTATGTAGCGGCCAGAATCCAATAATCTTAGCCTGAACGCGGGAAATAACTAGGCGGGGCCAACTGACGTGAATCTGACTAGTTCCTGCGTTCTACTGTATAGCTTCCGAACTCCCGCAAGTGACGCGCAGTCAAAGGTTGGATCGAAATATCAAAACACGGTTTGTAGTGATTCAATGGTAGATTCATAGCAAAATCTGTGGTACTATCAAAGCAACAATAAGTTGTGTCAAAATCACAAAAATACCCCAACAGTGCCGTTGGGTAACTATACAGTTCAAAACGTTCTCGGGTACAAATACGTACTACACGGTAAAAGCTTGTTAAACAAATACAACTGTTAAGTGCCTGTCGGTCAATAGGAATATTCCCGACAAAAGGGATCAAAACTGCCTACAGGAAGTAAATCAACAAACAAACGTTCCCAGTAGACAGTCAAAAGACAAACAGTCAAATCACTGCACAACCGTAAGGTGAACCAAAACAAAATGTTGGGCGCAGTAAAACAACATCACCTTGTCAACAGTCCAGCGTCACATAATGGGAAAGTGAAACATTCATGATAAGTCTCATACATACAAAGGCAAATACCGAGTGTAAAGTCAAATAAGACAGTTAAACAAGCAAATAACATTACACCGGCTAGGGCCAAAGGTACACCACCCATGACGAGGGTAAAAATGTTAAAATAAATGTCACTACAATCGAATAAGGGTGATCGGGAAGGATTTTCAGATCAATTTTCCGTTACACCCTACCAGAATCTAGTGGATGTACCCACCTTTTCGCTTGTGTTGATCGTTTCACACGATGGCCAGAAGCGGTACCTATTAAGGATATTACCGCTGAAACAGTAGCTCATGTTTTCGTAGAAAGATGGATAGCGGGCCTCGGATGTCATCTTACGTCACAACCGACCGTGGGCGCCAATTCCAATGTGGCTTATTTCGCGCTCTAACTGCACTTTTGGGTTGCACCCGGTTTTGAACGACAGCCTACCGTCCACAAGCAAACGGCGTGGTAGGGCGTTTCCATCGACAGCTGAAAGCTTCCCTTTCGTAACGCCTTGAAAGTTGATGCTGAATGTACCCCTGCAGAACTCGTCTACGGGACCACTCTCCGCCTACCAGGTGAGTTTGTTTCCCCTTCAATTTTCAAACATGTTTCCGACAGGGCATCTTACGTGACTAGGCTTACAAACGCAATGCGTTCAGTTAGGCCTTCTCCGGTTAGACCGCAAATGACTGATGTTTTCGTCCACCCCAGTTTACAGAAGACATCACACGTGTTTGTTCGCCACGACGCTGTTCGTCGACCACTTGAACCACCATACGACGGGCCGTTCAAAGTGATTAAGCGACATGAGAAATTCTATATAATTGAGCGAGACGGACGTGAAGATACTGTCAGTATCGACCGTTTGAAACCAGCCTATTTCGAAGGCAACCCCATTATAAGTGACGTTTCACCTCCTACAGCCGGCCGGCGGATAGCTCGATTATCGAAATTCTTGACGATGTGCCTGGTACTGCACAGTTACAACAACCATCGGCGCAACCGAAAACACTATCAGGTCGAGCCGTCAGGTTCTCGGGGTCTTTCAAGTCCTATTCA